TTGTGCCGTCAGAATCTTGCAAGATGAGCCAGCCATCTTCCTCATTGACAAAATCAGACACGTGAATCAGATGTCCACGTCCCTTCTTGTGTAGAGGTTGCTCGTCAGGCTTTAACCTTGTAACAGAAAAATGAGCTGCAGTATCACCACGACTGTCACAGAAGGCTCACCAAGCATTTCGAGCATTATCATTGGCAGTGAAAACAACATTCGTCGTGCCAGTATGGCTTGATCTGACGTTCTCCTTGATTCAGTGTTGGATCAACTCTCGTCAACTCTCGTCCTTCAAATCGAACCATCCGTTCCTCGAACTTTGCCATTGCAGGCAGGTAAACCTCCTGTCGATACTTCACAACATCTTCTCGCTTGTGACCATCCATGTAAACGCCTTTTCTTATCACAGTTTTCCGCCACCCAAGCTTTATCAACCACCGCCGAGCTGTGCGTTCGCTAATTGGGTGCTTGGGAACAATACCCAGTTCAGGAAAGATTGTTGTCGTGACTGCACTTTGCAGAGCTCACGGTGTTACAGTTCCTGTCGGCAAATTTGATAGCCACGTTCATGCACAATTCTGCACTGATTCATCATGCAAGAAGGATCGAGCATTCTTGCTACCACCTCGCCTTTCAACAGGGAGCTGTTCGAATATTTGGTAGTGACAGGCCAGTGCACGGACTCGACGTGCAAACCAGTTGCCATTCCCATCATGCCACTGACAAGCAATCTCTAAACTGGCACCAATATGGGAGGCACCTTTGAGACGAAGAGTAGCGAAGTTGGATAGAATCAGAAGCTGATTGATATGGGAAAGGGGTAAAACTTTCTGCCCAGCTCGAAGATCATTCTGGATTTGAACACGAAGTGTTTTCCAGTCACGGATTTCAGTATTGGATGCGAGTGTGCCGTCAAGCTCTCGTTCCCACTCCTCTGCATCGCCCTCGCCTGAGATATCTTCTGGATCGGTGTTCTCATTTGTTGTGTTGTCCTGCACAGCATTAGTCTCGTCTGAATCACTAGCCTCTCGATCATCGACAAAAGTTGGATCTGACATCATCGAAACACTTCGTGCATGAGGCAGGATTATTGAAGGGCTCGACTCAGATGCCCCTGCCTCCGGCTCTGCTGGTTCATCTGATGAGTCAGAGAGTGCCCCAGGAGCAATAGAGCCTCGTGTTTGCTGAAATCCGAATGAACTGAGTGATGCCTGGCCCCTCCAACTTTTCTGATAGTGCTGCTGTGTCCGCTTGGACTTGCTCATGACATCAGGGCCCTTAGCATAGGTTGCAGGTCGTGCTTCAGGGGGGTGAGTTGTATCATACTGTATGGTATTTTTTGTTGCTTTTGCACTCACGCTTGCGCTTCGCTGCAGCTTTTTGCATCTTCCTCTGCAGCCTTTCAGGAATCCAGTCACAATCCTTCCCATCTTCCCTTTCTGCCATCTCTACAAGCTTCTTCCCAAATTCTTCGTCATTCAATACATCCAGTTCAACCTCTTCATCGACGTCTGATTCATCCGAGTCCGTTGATCCATGGTCAACATATTCTTGCTTGAAGTTGATCTTTAATCCATCAAAAACCACTGTAAGTGTCTCGTCCTCCAAATCAGACTGCCAGCCTGATTCTGTTTGATAAGGACTTGATTCTCGGGTTGAGCCTGGTGCTGAATCCAACACAGATGCAGGAGAAACACTATGTGATACTTGATGTCAAAGACCGGTGATGTTTCGTGCTTTTTTTCTGGGACGGCCGCGAGCCATGATGAGTTCAATTGTCAATTGTACAGGTTTTTTTGTGCCGTTCTTTGACGGACTCATGTTTTTCTGATTATTGATTCAGAGACAACTCAGCGAAAGCAATCGATTGCACATTTTTCAATATTTTTAGCGATTTTTTAGGGGGTGCGCCAAATTTTGGACCCTGGAAATGTCAACATGGCAGCTATGAGAAATCGGCTCGTGCAAATGTATTCTAGATGTCCATTAGTCTATGAAATCACTGTTTCCAACACTTTCCGTTAAGTTGTGCGTCCCAGAAAATTCAGTCCGTAAATTTGCGGACTTTGCTTGTCCGCAACTGTAGATCCCGACGATCCTTGTTGACACCTTGAAGATAGTGCGGGTTGCTAAGGACCTACTTCGAATAACGAAAGCAAGGTCTTCTCGATATCTCTGCCGACAACAGTGGCAACTTTCATCCGGAACTCCGTGACATCGTGCGTTCACCGGCTAACATCGATGGCTTCAAACCAAATACTTGACTCGTAAGCTATCGACCCTATCGAGGCATCTCACCCCTGGGTTTTGATACATCGCAATGCTTCGAAACATGGCGTCGATTGTCGATGCGCACTATCAGGTGTTATAACCCATTCACCGCTAGGGAGTGGAGATACCACGGACATTTGGCTTAAAGGAAGAGCCAGAACTTAGAAGTTTATGAATAACGTTGTACTTCCGAAATGTTTGCGATCGTTTCGCGGCGCACGATCGAACACGCGCAGGACGTATTGATCTTCGAAAGTGGTCCAACCTGGCCAGTTCGGGATACCAAAAGTATTCATTTATGAGTGGCCAATCTCCAGTGACTTGCTCGCACATCGGACTAGAAAACCGACAGATTACCGTGATGATGAAGGAAACATTGTGTATGCTATAAACAAACATGTATTAGAAATATCGCCGCGATATCATGTTGTACATCACCGCGGTATCCCCCAGCTAGAAAAAAAAAGAACTTTCTTTCTACAGACACCACCGCTAAAAATTACTTGGTTGTATTTGTTGTGTAAACACAGAGCGGGGCGACAGAGTGGCCAGTTGATGATCGGATCTGCCGCGTCTGCAAAACTAGCCGGTGACCGCGGAGGGGAGAAAGGCACAGGAAGACACAACCCGATGGAAAGACAAAGAAAAGCAGGTCTATTGAAATATGCTGATCCTGATACGAAGAGGACACAGTAGAGAGCGGCTAGGATAGGAATGGTGGGCAGGGCGACAGAATTCTACAACAGTGAGCTACATTACCTGCGCGTTCCACACAGCGAGGGATGGTCGGGTGTTTCATCTTGTCTAGCATGTTCCAGTAAAAGATTCGGCAAAACGTGCGATGTCTCCCACGGCATCGTACCCCGCAGCCTTCGAGGTGGACAGGGATGCTGCTGCCCATGACTGATCGGCACTAGATCGACGCTACGGTCAACGAGAAACTTGTGTTGTCCGCTGGCATGATTAGCGCTTACGCCCGCCAATCAGTCCCTTTATGGCACGAAATTAAAGAGGCTGTCGTGTCCACTGTGATACTCTGGAGATGTACATACTTAGTCTTCACTCAAAACGGACGCAGCAAAAATGTTACCACACTTGTGATCTAGCGCGTTCTGCTCCCTCTGTTGCAATCGCAACTTCCGGAGATGAGGGTATTGTCCAGTTCCCAATAATATCAGGAATTTGTTTCGGGCCCCATCAGTACTTGCGACTACAAATGCCGACCCGAAGAATCATTTTAAATTTTTGAGTGACGAGAGCGGGCGTCCAATAGGCTACTTGTAGACTCTGCGTGCGATCGCAGGCCGTTCTGGCCCATCATCTGGCAGGATGTACGGCAGAGCAGCGTAATTAGCCTCCTACGAGGATTGAATGCTATCGCCGAAGATGGACAACGTACTGGTGATTCACTGAGTAATACCAAGTGGCATGGGACTACAGATCTGTTGATCAGAATCCGAAGCCGGGATTGAAAATTTTCACCTTTGAATGTTTCGTAACCGTACAGCCTGATCAACAGAGAATGCATAAAAGCAAGGCAAAAAAAGACGAACCAGCATCCTCTCAAGCATCCTATCATCTCCACCCACCGAGCTCAGTAGACCATTCTCAATCAACTTTTATCACCTAAAATGATCGCCAGTATTCTCGCTCTCCTTCCGTTTGCCCTCTTTGCTGCTGCTCAGAGCAGCCAGTGTGACACTGGTACCATTCAGTGCTGCGAGAGCTCTACCAGCGTGAGTTCAGAATTTTGCAAGACCTGCAATGAAGTTCTCATTTTTTTTTAAAAAAACTTGTAGTATTCAACGGCTCAGTGGATGTACCCTGAGTACGGCATCGTCGACGTTGCTGCAGCGGTGGACGCTGTTGTGGGTCTCACATGCTCCGGCGTCACCGTCGTTGGCACTTCCAGTGGCTGTGAAGCTAACCAGCAGCCACTGTGCTGCGAGGACAACAGCTACGTGAGTGCCAAATGTTCCACGGTTTTAGATCTCAACTAACGTACCCTCTCCAGAATGGTGTCGTCAGCCTTGGCTGCACTCCTATCAATGTCAACGCTTGAACGGATTATGGCGTGAGGATGCAGGTGCTCTCTGAGACAGTAATACCATACTTTGAACGTTATTCTTGTCAGTGCGTTGCCTGCTATGCACTAGTCAGTAAAAGTACCATGATACCTATCTGTTTACCAATGTAACTTATCGCTGTTCTCTTACCTCATGACCGAAAAGAGCGTGTGTACACAGGCTTCTAACTTGGATGCTTGTAGCCAGACATTGTGGCCACAGCCGCAACTACTGATACACAAATTCAATCAACCATGTGGTGATCAAAGCTGTTAGAATCGGACATGAATTGCGAGGATGCCAAGAATCAGAAATGTGTGCGCACTCGCATGATGTGACTTTCGGAAGGTGGAAGTTAGATGCATGTCTGCTTTTATGATACGCAGAGTACTGCCAAGTACACGTACGCCGTACGTGTAACGTGCACGATCCACTGAGCGACAGAGCCGGAAGTACCTGATACTTGAACTCAAGTCAATTGTGATTCCTGCAGCTGCTTCATGCATGGAAATACCTTAAATATTTCAGTTAATGAAGACGTGTTTTAAAGTCCCCAACTTCACTAGTTGAGTAACAGCTGTGGTGTATGTTGAACAAGTTGGCTTCAAGTGGAACAGTCTCGGACTGAGTATATAAAAAGAATTCATACTCCGGAGCGGTCGACCACCCATGACTTGTAATAACTTGGTAAGTAGCAACTTACTTATGGAAATATCAATATAGGAAATATAACTGACTTAGTACGTGCATGCAGGTCTATTCGCAATAACTGTTTCAAGAACTTTCCTTTACAGATTCTGGAGTTCTCTCAAATATTCCAACCCTATCCCAGCTTGCATCTGCGCCTTTCGCTCATCTCTTGCGAATGTAGAAGCAATGTCGGTTTCTCTGACATACTCGAATGCGATTTCCTTCCAGCAGACGAGGACATCGGTCTCGACTCCCACGGCCCATGCAGACTGACGGATGGATACTAGGAAGACACAAGGCAGCACCGAGGCACCGGCCGGTGATGGCTAGTCTCCCCAAGCCAGACCTTGAACAACGGAAGACAGTCGTTCCTTCTTTTTCAAGAGGTGATGGCAGCGAGGGTGAGATGGACTTCACAGCATCGACACTGTTACATCTAAAACCTTCCTAAAATATAAAATTGTCACTCGCACATCACAGACGTCCCGCCCCACCCACGCAGTCCACTGCCACCATCAGCACGCAGAGTGATATATCCATGCACAATGCGCCACATGCCGAGTCTGACACCAGTCTTGCAGATTGGGCGTAGCTGATGTGATGCGCTCGAAAATGCGTCATAGCTGATGCGCATGATGCATTCAATAGGTTCCATATGGCTGCATGATAAACTGCCATCTCGCCTTCCCGGGCATCCCCAGCTCTATTTGTACCCTGTTGTATGGGCATCAAATCTTACCTCTATGGAACAATTGATGGTCTGTGTCCTCTCGGTTTTGATTTCATTCATCCTAATGATAATGACGGATGTTTACATTGCTGTACAGTAGTCTTGACTTCTACTTTACGCTCCTCTGCTGTCAGGTATGACGGTGCTTGGCAGGTGCAAGGGCTTCTCAAGCAAGAAGCTACACTGTTCAAATGCATGCGGCCAAAGCGGACCGCGTTTCTTGTGTGCGAAGTTAGTCATTGATACTAATAGCATATTTCAACATGATGCAATACGAGGATATCTGATTCACAAACACACTGCATTTATTACGTGGCATTCACGACGCATGGGTGGGGTTTAACACAAGACTAACGCGACATGGGCGAGGCTTCACACAGCAGGAACTCTACGATAAAGCGCACCGTGCGTTCAATATCGACGCCTTCAAACCGAAAGTTTGACTCGTAAGCTATTGACGTTATAAAGTCATCTCACACACTCGGGACATACTAATATTCAGAATTGGTGAAGCCCGGGTCAAAAGTGTCAACGAGAAGCAGTTGTTTCGTTCAAGTCGCACATGCTCATTGGTAAAGGGTTCGAGAAAACCGACGACTTACACTGACGTGTATTGGAAAATCTGTTGCGTTATCATGTTGCACGCCACCGCGCCCCCCCTCAGGTAGAAGAAAGTTATTTTTCTACATGACCACCAAAAATGATCTGATTATATTTGTTGTATAGAAAGCGGGACGACAGATCCGCCAGATATGATCGAATCTGCCGCGTCTGCAGAACTGGCTGGCCCGTGTACGGAGCGGAGAAGGACCAACATTGCTAGGCACAGGAACACATGACTGATGGAAACACAAAGAAAGGACGAGCAGGTCTATTGAGAAATGCGTATCGATCATACAAAGAGGCACTATTAGAGAGCACAAAATGGAACATATTATGTCACTGGATTTTTGTGATTTGATGACACACACCTATAGCTAAAGATAGGGATGGTGGGTAGTGACAAAATTTTACAATAGTGTGAGCTACATTACCGGTACGTTCTACAGAGCGAGAGATACGGCCAGCAGGGTATATATATATATATGATACTGTCTGTTTCACTTTTCTGGCTTGTCCTAGTAAAAGATTGGGCAACATATGCCATGTTTGTAGGGATGCCACTGCCCATAACTGATCGAGATCGAAGCTACTGTCAGTGACAAATATCCACTGGCACGATTGGCACTTACCCTCGTCAATCAGTCCCTTTGTGGCAGGAAGTTGCAAAGAGGCTGTTATTCCATGTCATCGTGTACACTGATACTTCTGGATATGTAGGCTTCAATCAAAACGGACACAGCGAGAAAGTTACCGCACCCGGCATGTTGTCTGCTCCCTCCGTTGCAATCGCAAGTTCCGGAGATGACCGCGCCGTCCAGCTCCCAATAATATCATGATTTGTTTTTGGGGACGCCACCAGTGTCATTAGTACAAATGCCGACCAGAAGAGTCACGAGCGAGACAAGAGCGAGCTTTCAATGGGCCAATAGGCTGCATGTAGTGCGATCACAGGCAGCTCAGAACAATGACCGGTGACCTGGATCAGGATGTGCGGAAGAGCAGCGCCATTAGCCTGATCGCCACCAGGATCTAGAAAAGTCTCGAGCGGAACTGGTGGTCTTCGAATAATTGCCACAGTCGAAGATGGACAAAGGAACGTTGAGTATCAAGTCACTGAAGTGGTGTCGTTGTTGAGTTCAGAATTTCGCAAGGCCTGAAACGATGTCCTTATTAAAAACTTGTAGTATGCGGACGCTCAGCTGGACCTCGAGCTGTTAGGACTCGTCGACGTTGCTGCAGCGGTGGACGCTGTCGTGGGTTTCGAATGCTCTGGGGTTACTGTCGTCGGCACTTCCGGTGGCTGTGAAGTTAACCAGGAGCCACTTTGCTGTGAGGACACCAGCTACATGAGTGCTAAATCTTCCATAATTTTAGGATCCAACCAACGTACCCTCCCCAGAATGGTCTCGTCAGTCTTGGCTGCACTCCTATCAATCTCAACGCTTGAATGAGGATTATGGCGTGGGGATGCAGGTGCTCTGTGGGACAGTGTACCATACGTTGAACATCATTCTTGTGTTGCTGCGTTCCTTGCTGCGCACTCGTCAGTACATATACCATGATACCTATCTGTCTACCAATGTAACTTTCCCTTTCTCACGATCGAAAAGACCGTGCATACACAACCCTCCAACTTGAATGCTTGTGTGAGACATTGTGGCCACAGACCAAATTACTTACACAAATTCAATCAACCATCGGTGATGATCAAAGCTATTGGAGTAGGACATCAACTGCGAGGATGCTAAGAATCAGAAACGTGCGCGCACCTCATATCACTTTCGGGAAATGCATATGTAGAATATTTGCAATGAAGTATTCGGTACTACGTGCAGCATGCGTACGTGATTGAGTTTTAGAGACACAATCTGGAGCACCTAATAAACGTCAATCCTGATTCCTGCAACTGCATTTAAATACCTTAAATCTTTCAATTAATGAAGACTTTAGTGTTTTAAAGTTATCAACTTCACTTGCCGAGCAGCAGCTGTGGTGTATTGTTGAATTGGAAGATCGTCACGATCTTCCTGAAGTAAGTAGTCACATTCCGGCCCAGAAGGTTTGGAATGCAGTGTGTAGGGCAAGTCTCGGGCCTTATAGTTTGGCTTTCAGCGTTTTCGTTTTGGTTCCGCTCCTTCGACGTAGCCTATCAGTGAAGCATGGGTGGGGTTTGACACGAGACTAACACGATATGCCAGTGGGCGATGCTTGACACAGCGGGGACCAGGTTCTGAAAATGACTGATCAAGTGACATCAACCATTATTCAGGACATAGAACGTGGTCCCCGTGGCTGAAAACCAATGTTCACTGAACTTCAATTAGAGTCAATAGAAGTAGCACAGCAGGCAACGTACTACACGATGATACATCTTCGCTGTACGAGTCCATGCACGACAAGCACTTCATCGTGAATAAAATTACATGTGTTTCGAGCAACATACAGCATGACAAGGTGATCCAAATGTTTATTGTTGTGATCGTTAGCCATATTCCCGGGGGTGATACTTCTTACTTGTATGCCCAGTGTCGATTGGCATGCCATGGGGGTTGGGCCGACTCTCTGAATAATGATAGTGGTGTTCTTCAAGGGTAGCCTATTCGGAAGAACGAAATGGAAGACGTCGTAAGTGAGGAAGAGCAGCGACATAATAATTTACAGTCCAGAAGGTCTAACCCAAAAGCAGTCCTTTTCAGTGCTAGCGTGTTCACTGGGATTAAATAAAATCGAAATCGACTGATCAGTGTTTACGATTCGGAGGCGAGGATGAAAATTTCACCTTTGGAATTCTCATAGAATACCGTAAAGCAGAAAGGGCATAAAAGCAATGTAAAAAGGTGAAAGCAACCCATCCTCTCCCCTCTCTGCCCCCAAGCATCATTCTCAGCCAGCTTCTATCGCCTAAAATGTTTGCCAGTGTCCTCGCACTCCTTCCATTTGCCCTCTTTGCTGTCGCTCAGAGCAGCCAGTGTGACACTGGTGAGATCCAATGCTGTAACAACAGTACCAGCGTGAGTTCAGGATTTTTGAAGGCCAGAAACGAAGTCCTAATTGAAGGCATAGTATACTTCAGGTGCCGCTAAAAATGCCTTCACCGAGGCCGGCCTCGTCGACGTTGCTGCAGTGGTGAACGCCACTGTGGGACTCACGTGCTCTCCCATTAGCGTCGTCGGCACTGGCACTGGCTGTTCCGCTAACCAGCAGCCACTTTGCTGCTCGGACAACAAATACGTAAGTACCAAATCTTCCACGGTTGTAGGATTCCGCCAACATACCCTCTCCAGAATGGTGTCGTCAGTCTTGGCTGTACTCCCGTCGGTGTTAACGCCTGAACGAGGGATTATGGCGTGAGGATGTAGGTGCTATGTGGGACAGTATATCATACTTTGAACATTATTCTTCGATCATCACGCTCCTTGTTGTGCACTTATCAGTAAAAGTATCATGATACCAACCTGTCTGCCAATGGAACTCACTGTTGTTTCCTTTTCCTCGTGATCAAAAGAGCATCATTGGGCACAGGCTCTTCAAGACTGACGTTGTCGCCGCCAGTGTCGCGCCTGCTAAATGTGTAGCGTGCAAAGCCAATAATTGACATTGGACAAGACATCAATGCAAGTGTCCAAAACATGCACGACCCTTAGTTGTAACCTTCTATAGGTCGAATGTCGATATGATATGCGGTTTTAGCCTTTCCAAACTCGACTGAAATACTACATACAACCAAGTGAACAGCGAACAGTGAAATCCACGAGCACCAGGTGCCTGAACTCGTATAATATAAACCATAGGCGCAATCCCCGGCCCAGGCCAGTCTTAAGTAGAGGAGACAAAGTCGGGAGTAACTAAACTCTGATCAGTAATCCTGATTCCTGCACTGCAGTGTACACATGCAAATACCTCACATTCTTCAGTTGGGTGAAGGCCTCGGTGTTTCGTTGTTGGCAGCTTAGTGTAAGTATATGCTGAAATGAAAGTTGGCGGTCTTGAAATATTGGTTATACAAGGAAATTCAACTCAACCATGATCCGACCACTCATAAGCTTTTTGACAAACAATTTACACCAGCTAGCCAACTACTCGTCAGCTGGCGGAGAGTAGTCCTAGTCACTCACCCTGCAGTTGGCTTAACTCGAATGTCTGAACTTTCCTTTGCAGAGTTCTCGCAAACATTTTCTCCACCAACCCTCGTGCCAACTTTAAATGCCCTCCTCGCTGGCCTATCTCTCCCATTCAGGCTCACTTCCCCAACGGACCTGGCGCCTTCTTTACTCCTTGCAATTTTAGAGTCCATACTCGAGTCCCGCCTCCCTATCCCAGCTCCAATCCGTGCCTCTCGCTCATCTCTTGCAAAAGTAGAAGCGATGAAGGTTTTCCTTGGCGTACTCGAGTGCGATGTCCTTCCATCAGATGAGGACATCGGCCTCGCGGACCTTGATCCCCGGAGACTGGCGGATGGATGCTGGGAAGAAACTGTTTTCGTTGGTGAGCTGCTTTGTTGGCTGGGGAGGAAACGAGGCATTATCGAGGCGTTGGTCGGTGATGATAGCGAGGGCGAGGTAGATCTTACAGCTTCGATGCTGTTGCATCCAGAATCTTCCTACAATGTAGAGCTGTCGCACATCACAGACGTCCCGCGTCACCCACGCGTTGCTTCTCCCTCCACGCGGTCCACCACTACCATGAGCGCGCAGACCGACCTATCCATGCACAACGTACCACATACCGAGTCTGACACGAGCATGGCAGATTCTGAACTCTCAGATCGCACAGAGACGCAGCCACTCCACGACACTAGTATAAATCACCACCCTCAATGTATTCACGAGCTCGAGGACCCATCATATTTCCTCGAGCATGACGCTTCTTATGCGTCCAATGTTGATGAATCGATGGAAGAATTAGACCCCGACCACTCTACCCAATCGACCTCCTCAGACGAGCAGCCTCCGACTCCTACACCTCAGCCTGTCCGTCTGAAAGGCTGGATCGGCGCTGTTGATTCTGAACTTGAAATCAAAACATTCGCAGCGAACAAGCTTAATGCAAGCACGCCTGTCAAGGCCAAGAGTCAACGGCGGAGTTCTGGTCTTTTTCCCGTGACAAGCGGGAATTCTACTCCACGCATGCCGACAACGTCAGTGCGCATGCCTGCTAGCGCGCCTTCGGCACGGACGTGGGTTGACAACTTCTCTATCCTTGGGGCTGGCCCTTCCCGCTTGCCATCGCTGCCATCATCAGCACAAACGCGGAAGGCAGATTATTGTTCTCCCACAGAACGCACGGTTGCACTTCTGAACGAGCGCGCGAGACTCCTCAGTGAACTCGCAGATCTGCGTCGGATTAGAAAGGCCAGTCGATGACGGGCAAGCGGGGATGCCATGTTTGCACCGGCTGCGTTTAGTGTGTAGAGCGTAGCTTCGATGTTCCACTCAAGTCTTTTGCGATCTTTTATCTCCGCTGATAATGTTTGGATTACTTATTAGTGTAACTGTCTATTATATGCCTAGCCTAATTGTGTACTTCAAGTTGTGCATTTCACGATATTGTTTGTTCATGTTGAATTCTAAAGCTTGTGGCAAATAAGACCAAACTCCCGAATGGGAGACTCAGATGAAGATGTAATATTAATATCGCGGACGGCCAGATCAGAAGGCAAAAATAATGGGCGCTAGCTTCCGCGGAGCCGGAATCAGCTGCTAAGAAGAATCCGGGCTATGACGGCGATGATGTGATGAACGTAAGAGTGACCGGTCCACACTGGTGATTATAATTGCAAAGAAGATTCGTTACCGTGGAAGTGGAAGCTCCTTCAACAAGTTTGAGGTGGTAAAAGAATCACTCCGAGGAACCAAGAATTCGTATCATTATAGGAATCCACAAGTGCTTGGGCCTGGCGGTGGGAAGGTTTCGTGAGGCACATTTGAAAATTCAAGGCACTTTGGCCGTATCACACGGATTCACTCAAATCGGTTGTTTCATCTCGCCCTCATCCAGTGTCTCCAGACTCCAGCTACTAGGCTAGAAATTGCACCGGCGAAATATGCCTCCGCAACTGCTTGGTAGTTATCTCCTTCTGGTCGAAAAACTAAGACGTGGATGTCCGAGATTAGGGTTCCTAGCCCTGGCGTACAAATTGTCACCTGAAAACTCCCGCATTCAGTCCAGGCAAGCCCGTAGATGCAATTGCTGAAAAACATGTGCGCATTCCACATACGGTCTTTCGAATGCAAGATATGATAAGAACAAATGAGCCGTTTCGATGATCAAGGTGTCAAAAACATCCTGCACCTGAATTTTGGGATTTGGATGTAGGTATCTGGACAGCAGAGACCACTCGAACCGTTTACTAGATCGGAGGGGGTACAGGGGGAAGGGACCTGATCAAAAAGAACTCCGATTCAGTGAAAGGGTGACTATTAATGTTGATAGCAAATTCGAAGTTTGATGCATATCCGACGGTCACGCCGCATCTAATTCTTCCAGTCCAGATTGGCAAAGGAAGCCTAGTTTTGGAGCCAGCAATTTTTTGCATGCAGCAAGGACTGTGCTTGGTTGGCGGGAATGCAAACTTTGAACACCGTCGTCGGCAAGAGCTTGTCAAGTGTCTGTTTGAGCGCGATGGGCGCGAAATAATAGTTCGACAAGTTGAAGTTGCAGCTGTTCCCACGCCATCTTGAGCTTGACTTCGACCCTCATCGACCTAGCCAGCGAAGTACTTCCCTTTGGAAAACCGGCCGCATACCAGGCTCTAGCTCATAATGAATTTAAATTGACTGCAGCGTTCTGCTTTGTGGTATGATCGTCTCCCAGCAGATGCTACTTTAGTAGCTTTTCGTAGCCACTTCCCTCCACTGCTTCCTCGCCTGGTCCTTCGATCCCGTCGGGTCAATTTCGACGTTCGTAAGTCTTCACAGGAAGCTGATTATAATCTCTAAGTTTGACCGAAGTCTGTCTTCATCCAGTGAAGGATCTTCTGTTTCGTCTGAATTCTCACCTTCACCACAACGGTTTCATTATTGCCGCCGATACCTTTTGTCAGTTGCGCATTCCACGTCCTATATACTTACTCTTTCCCTTGAAAGCACGTCATTATCAGTAGGGGCTATTCAAAAGCAGAAAACCCATCCTTGTGATATTTGTCCAGGTACGGACATCAAAAGCGCCTTCCAGTTCATCGAATTTGGCGTCCACCTTCAGGGACCATCACGTTCGCAGCTGATCTAGGTGAGTGGAGTAACTATATAAAAATTCCCAATTGTGATTGACCCACGCTGCCATCACATACAGTCGGTCAAAGCTCCAAACCTCTAGCCTTTCAAGGTTCTTCAAAGAGTTTGTTAAGATTATCCAGACAACATCAAGCTGATACTGCGTCCTGAGGTACAGGAAAGCGGCGGCTTCTGGCTTCTTCAGGAACCAGATAAGAGATACGACCCATGGCAGAAACTGTCGATCCTTCTTGCATCTATAATCGGTCATTCTCTGACATCCTAATCTAGTCACCGGAATATTACATTTGTCCTTCATCCAACGTTTGATGCAGACCCGCCCCTTCTAGCCTTCCAGCGGTTTCTTCCAGCAAAGCAATTGTTAGCACGTACAAGTCGCCGGTTGTTTTTACAGTCAAAACCATACTTTTTCAAGTGTAGTCGCCTGACGTCATGGCGATGAAGGCCCAACGAATGCTCTTCTGGTGATAAAGAATTGACATACTGAATTGAAGACAAGTAGTACGGCGTTTTCGAGTAATTATGTAACGCATCTTCGGAATAGGTCGTGTTCATTATCATTCCAGTGGTTCTGTCACAAGGAATGGAAGTGACCACGGAAGTCATCACAAGTTAGTGCCTTTCCCCTTCGTGTAATGTGACCCGGTACAGGTGACCGTCAAGCTATAACAGCTATCTCCTCGATCGACCGACCTACTTTCCCACTTAAACTTGGACGCAGCTCTCTATTTTGAACCCCAGCAATCATACCCGATATTCGCTTGTGTTTAATAGGGCAGCAACGTTGACAGAGTGCATTTCTCACATCCGAGCACTCTTGCTACACCGTCCAAGGTACATGGCTTCAGTCTGCCTACGCTCCTGTTTTAATGACGCGTTTGTTACGAAAGTTATTGCAACCCCTCAGTTCTACGCAGATGGAAAGCCATACTTCGCGGCCCAGGGTCGTACCTTTGTTTTCTGGCCAAGGGTCCTCATCTGGCGCTCTAGCCCTGGCTCTTCAGCAGGCTCTCCGTGATATTCGCTCACCCTCTGGTCATTTGCTTTTGACTTCATGCCACGAGGCTTTCCATGCAGAGGTGTCGAAGTTATCAGGAAACGAGCTCGACGAATCCCGCATTTCCCTGGTCGATTTCCAGGAAGCCACCTCGCTTCTGTCATTTTCGAGTGTTTACGAGCACAATCCTATCATTTCTAGCGTCTCGCTCTTCCTCGTACAAGCTCTGCGATACCTCGCGTACTTCTCAGGCTCAACGGAATCTCCCGGACGTGGTACCTTCGCAGAGATACTGAGAAGCAATGGCGATCACCTTCTTGGGGCGATCGGCTTCTCCTCTGGGATCGTCACGGCATGCGTGGTAGGAGCTTCCAATAGTGTGCTCTCGTTCATGTCGAATGCAGTGGAGGCATTTCGCCTAGCATTTTGGGTCGGAGTGCGATCTACGCAGCACAGAAACAAGGAGCTACAATCTGCTTTGGTTTTTACTGAAATAGCACTGCCTTGGACTGTCGTTTGTCTCGGGTTGAGTGTATCCGATGTCCTGGACTTCATTTCCGATTTTGAAATCAAGGTGAGAGGCGGTTGCACCAGTGACGCGCAGGAAAAGCTGACAAGACTCATAAGAACGATTGCAATTCTTCCCTTCACCTGACCGCTGTTATAGATAATCAGCACGTCACTGTTTCTGGTCGTCCAGATATCCTGCAGCTCTTCTCATCCTTGATCTCAACTTCCAAGTCTTGCACCATCCATCCGACAACGGTGAACGCTTTGTATCACGCACGCACCCTCCGCAGTGTCCACGCCCAGGTCTTGGCTGATGTTGGGAGACATTCGATTCGCTTTCCTGAGTTTTCCGACCTCAAATATCCCGTCTTTTCCACAATCTCTGGGAAGCATTTGCTGCCGGGTTCCGGACACTCCTCTCTTGTGGACGCTGTCCTTGACATGATAATCGTGTCTCCTGTAGACTGGATGTCTGTGGTACAGGGACTTGGTAGTTCGGCACCGTCCGATGCTCCCATACAGGTATTGAACTTCGGCCCTAGCTCTGGTCTCCTTCGAACGCTGGAGAAATCACTCTCAGCCGCCAAAATTATTTGTACGGACGTGACCGTCTGCGGCAATCCTGATGGTACGACGGGATACAACCCAAAACAAGAGCCGATAGCAATCGTCGGGATGGCACTCCGCATGCCTGGTGCAAAAACCGCGAACGACCTTTGGGAAATTCTTGAGCGAGGAATTAATACCGTTTCCGAGGTGTGTTTTTTTTGCGTTCTATGATGTTTTCACGCGATAAAATTTGCCTGTTGAGATTCCTGCGGACCGTTTCCAATTGGCGCAGTACACATTTTCTAATGGCACAAGCAGCCGGACGATGAAGGCTCATACCGGAAATTTCTTGGATTGTCCTGACGAGTTCGACTACAAATTCTTCAAGGTATCGCCTAGAGAAGCAAGAAGCATGGATCCACAACAAAGAATTCTCCTGCACACTGCTCATGACGCCCTTGAAAATGCTGGTTACGTCCCAGACGCCACGCCTTCTTTCCAGCGTGATACTTTTGGTTGTTTTATCGGCACTGCTACCCACGATTATGCAGACAATTTACGGGAGGATATTGACGTGCATTACAGCACGGGTATGCAGCCTTCTTCTCGATGTGTAACTCATTCTGACAAATGTTCAGGGACGCTGAAATCTTTTCTCAGCGGCCGCATATCGTACGCAATGCAGTTTGGCGGCCCTTCGGTGGCTATTGATACTGCTTGTTCATCGTCTATCGTCGCAATCCATCAAGCATGCCGCGGACTTATGAATCGGGACTGCAATGCTGCAATTGCAGGCGGAGTCAACATCATCTCGAGTCCAAATGTAAGTGAGACTTTCGGCTTCCGATATCCATCCTTCAGGCTAATGGCACCCCTGGCAGATGTTTATCGGCCTCGATCATGGTCATTTCCTTAGCCCGTCCGGCCAGTGCAAATCCTTCGATGCATCAGCTGACGGCTATTCTCGGGCAGAGGGATGCTCTCTCTTTGTTCTCAAACGTCTTTCAGATGCGGTTGCAGAGAGCGACGACATCCTCGGTGTTATCCGCGGCGTTGATGTCAATCAGAGCGGGCTGGCGCATTCAATCACCCACCCGCATGTACCTACCCAGGTCGCTTTACTGAAGAGGCTCCTACAAAACTCCGGTGTGGATGCGTCGCGCGTCAGTGTCGTGGAAGCGCACGGCACTGGCACCCAGGCTGGGGATTGTGCCGAGCTCGAGAGTATCCGCGCCGTCCTTTGCCGTACTCGCGATAGCGGAAACCCCCTTCATGTCACTTCGATTAAAGCCAACATCGGTCATTTGGAATCTGCTTCTGGTGCTGCTGGTCTTGCAAAAATTCTACTCATGTTCCGACACGACACGATTCCTGCTCAGATTTCCTTAAAAACATTGAACCAGCGCATCGCACCGCTAGCCCATGATAACACTATCATCGACACGCTTCCCTCGCCGTGGGTGCGCGGATCGTCGCCCCGTATGGCACTGCTTAACAACTTCGGAGCATCAGGTTCAAATGGAGCGCTCATAGTGGAAGAATATCCGAAGCATGCGAAAGCTTCAGCAATTGCTACGTCTTACGTCTTTGGCATCTCTGCAAAATCTCCCGAGGTTCTCGAAAATCTCCGCCTTCGCTACATCCAATGGCTTCGCGATGCCCGAAATCGCTTGATTCCCCTGGGTGACATCGCATATACTGCCACAGCGAGAAGGCAGATATACCCTTTTCGAATTTCTGTTGACGCAGGCAGCAAGGAGCAACTCGTTCAGGCTCTTGGAAGCGCTGAGATGTCTCATTCCGAGCGAAGTTTCGGTCAAGTAGTTTTTGTCTTCTCCGGACAAGGCAGCTATTATCGTGGCATGGGGAAGCTCCTCTACTCGACGTCTACAGTCTTCCAGCGTTGCGTTGACAGATGTCACCGATACCTTGTGTCGAAAGGCTTTGTGGGCATCCTTCCCAGCATCATGGGAGACGCCACGAATAGTGGGTTGAATGAAATGGAAGAATTCGAAGCGTCTCAAACTGCTACGTTGGCGCTAGAGTTCTCGTTGGCGACATTATGGATGCATTGGGGTTTGACGCCTTCCACAGTCATTGGGCACAGGTAAGACTTATTTTGATATACGATTTGTAGATGACTAACAGACATCTACTAGCCTCGGTGAATACGCTGCTTTAGTCATCGCCGATGTGCTCTCGCTCGAGGCGGCCTTATTTTTGGTCGCATCACGTGCTCGCCTCACATGGCGTAGTTGTGCTTTGGGTGTAACAGGCATGTTGGCTATCAGGCTCGGGGAGCAAGACACCAAAACCATCCTGAAGACCGCGTCGTATTCGGATATCTCCATCGCTTGCGTCAACAGTGATTGCACTTGTGTTGTTTCTGGTCCACTTTCTCAGTTGCACGCTCTGAGCGGGGAGTTGGCGGCTACAGGATGCAAGGCCCGTCTCCTCGACGTTCCTTATGGATATCACAGTCAAGCCATGGACCCAGTTCTGGATGATCTCACCCGATTAGCGCGCACTGTATCCTTGTCTTCCCCCAAGGTGTCAGTTGGTTCTACCGTTCTTGGCCGACTTGTTCACACAGGTGATACTTCGGCCTTCGATGCAACCTATTTCTCTTCGCATTGCCGTCTGCCTGTCCTTTTCGCTTCAACTGTTGAGGCCTTGTGTAAGCACCCTTCTCTCTCGCAGGTAGAGGCTTGGATCGAGATGGGACCCCAAGCCTCATGCGTGTCAATGATACAAGATTGTTCAGCTGCTCCCAGCGAAGCGGCGGTATTGCCGTCGTTGAGCAAGCACGATAACACGCGGTCTACTCTTACCGCCAGTCTATCTCAGCTCTATAGAACCAGCGCTCCTTTGAACTGGCGTAACGTCTTTTCAGAGCTATCCCCGGCGACCTGCACTGGTTTGCCACCATATCCACTCGAGAGTCACAAGTTCTGGGTACAGTACAGGGAGCCTTCCATTCACTCTCCTTCACCACCACAAAGCAGGGCGCAATCCAATCTGATATCCGACTATACCATGCTGCAGGTGTGGGTGCAATACCCATCTCGCGAGAATGGCAACTCGGCCAGTTTTGATACTCCTATCGACGTTCTGGCTCCGTATATCCAAGGGCACAAGGTAGCAGGGCACTGCCTATGCCCGGCATCGGTCTATCTTGAACAAGCTCTTTCAGGCGCAGATCTTTCACAGCGCTATCTGGGCTTCGATTTCGGGAACAGTATGGCTGTCCTCCGAGGGGTTCATTTTGCGAAGCCGCTTGTTTACCGTCCTCAAGTGAATCGCGTTATCCGTACCCATGTCACCATTCATGAAGACGGTACTGGTTTCTTCAATATAACATCTCGACTGCAATCTTCTCTAGAGGAATCGGTTCACGTCCGCGGAGAAATACGCTTTCAATCTATCAGGGAAACTGCTGCTACTCTTGGCGATGAGTTCCGTCTCGTAACCAGACTTAGTGCTTCGGAGGTTGGTTTGCGGAAGGAAGGTCAGGCAGAGAGCTTTTCCACTCGAACGGCGTATGACGTGGTCTTCCCTCGTGTTGTTGAATACTCTGAGAGGTATCGGACGATCCAGTCTCTGACTGTCAGCGCGGATGGAATGGATTGTGTAGCGCAAATCAAGCTTCCCTCAGATGACCTAGGATCTTCCTTCGCTGCTCACCCTATTTTCACCGACACCCTCCTCCACACCGCTGGATTCCTGGCAAATATGCAAGGCGATATCAGTGATGCTTATATCTGCAGCGATGTCGAGTCATTCAAGATGCTCTCCGAGTTTATCGACCAAGAACAATCATACACTATTCATTGTCGCGGGACGTGGATGTCTTTTGACAACATCGTTCTCACCGACGCTTATGCGGTCCAAGAACAAGAGCCCCACCGTGTTGTTGCGCTTATGAAAGGGATTCAATTCAAGCGTGTACGCCTGAGCAGTCTTGCTCGAGGGTTATCAAGCGCAGCAGACCCTTCCCTTGCTAAAACACGAAGGCGAACCGATTCAAATGCTATCATCTCACCGACATCCCCCGAGAGTATTATCTTTGGACGCTCGCGGTCTAGTACACAAAGCACAGATCGGCACTGTGGCACGCAGATAAGTAACTCTGGTAGTTCGGCCCGCTGCAGCAGGCCGTCTTCACCAGAAACCTTAGTGTCTGAGGATGAAAGATGCATCCGCATCAGAGATATTATTGCGCAGGTACTTGGCCTTCCGACTCCAGATATACAAGATCACTCCGACTTCAAATCTCTGGGCCTTGACTCCCTCAGTTCAATCGACGCTCTACACGCCCTGAAAACCGAGCTCAATGTTGACCTTCCCCACAACACATTCACTTCTTGTTCCACAATCGCATCCTTGAACGCTTTTCTTGATAATTCCACTTCCCCCCAGAAGTTCTTGGAACGATCCCGTACGTCGACAGAAACACTACGACCCGCGTCTTTTAATGCTCGCCTGTCACAACTCCAGTTCAACAAGGACGCGACCGCTGTCCCGCTACTTCTTATTCACGATGGCAGCGGATTGACCAGTCATTATGATCGTCTGATGCCTTTACATCGTGATGTCTTCGCTCTCGCTAATCCCCGTCTGATTACTGGTGGAACGTGGGAGACTGTTGAACAGATGGCAGAATCCTACGCCAACGTCATTTTGGGCGCAACATCAGATCAGATCATCATTGGCGGTAAGCAGTCACTATTGCTCAGTAGGACATTATTAACGGTGCAAGATAGGGTGGTCATTTGGTGGCGTGGTGGCCTTCGAAACCGCTAGGAGGCTCGCTCAACATGGCAGACATGTCCGTGGCATTATTCTCATCGACTCTCCTTGTCCTGGAAAACACGTGCCACTGTCGTCTTCTGTGATAGAACACATCATGAAGTCGCACTCCCGAGGATGTGATTCGAGGACCGTAGGTCTTGTCGAGAAACAATTCAGAGAAAGCTCGCGACTCCTTTCCGTCTACCACCCATCCTGCGAAGAAAAGTTCAAGGTTCCGGTAGTTCTCCTTCGCTCGTCTGAGGGGTTTGCTCCTCCGAGTTTGAGTGACGTCCCAGACTGGCTGCGATATCGTGAGAACGAAGATGTTGTCGTCGACGATTGGGAGGCCCTCACACAGTCCGCTGTTAAAACTTGGTCAATTCCAGGCGATCATTTCAGACCTTTTGATCCCGATAATGTAAGAGCTCGATATGTCAGGAGGCGAAATCAACTAACGCACAATTATTATATAGGTTGAGCAAACATCTCAGCAGCTCGCGGATGCGTGTCATTATGTGGAAAGGCTATAAAGGATACCCCGCATTTTTTATTTCACTCCCTTTGATGTCAATGCTTGCTTCATACCCACCGCAGATATTGTTTGTGCATAGCTCTTTTTTTCTCTCTTTCCGGACCAAGACCTTCATGCTTGCATCTCGTTCCGTTCTCGTTGCTCGTGTTTTTGCATCCATATACCCAGTCGACGTGTCACGCAACTGCGATTTCGGTCTTCCGTCTATCAATGCAATTCGGTTTTGACGCGATCTGATATAAATATTCAGACCCCAGATTGCAATGGGCCAGATAACTTTGCTGCATAATTGTACACCCCGCGGGACGTAATTATACAGTGAGCGCATAGGCTTATAGGCTTATATCCTATCACGCTTTCGCAGACAACAACCAATGCCAGCTTCTTCTTCCTCGAGAAGCTTAGCGGGCGCCCCCTTAAATAATGTGATATATTGTCCATAGATCGTAGTAAAATACTGTATAGAAAAGACTCTGATTCAGAATCCCATACGTCAGATACAGAAGGGAGAACTGCGATTCATCCTCATCCAAAATGATGCTCAAATATAATTATGGTTTAACAGTGATACAAAAACAAACATGAAGACGCATTAAAACAAGGTGAGATGTACAAGTGATCCGGGAGAAGATGAACATTTCGAAGTTACTGCCAGCGTACCTCGAAAATGTCGAGTTTACAATGGTATGTTCTCTTTGCTCGACAAAATAGCCTTGTCTGGACTCTCCGACCTCTTCAATCCGGACTTATGTCTCACAGACTCCATCTCGAAACTCATGTCGTCCATGAAACACCACTCCTCCTCGGGCATCTGATCCAGAAGACTTGGTTGCGCCTTCATATTGCTAAAATCAACGCGAACGGGAGAGCACTCTGCATCTTCGATGATTGCAGGAGCCATGTTCGCGGCTCGGCTCTGTTGACGCTCAGCGAATGCTGCTGATGCACCTCCCGGCATCGGTTTTGGGGGCTTGAGTTTCGAGGGCAGTGCGCTGCTACTTAAGCCAAGGCCTAGCGAATCGAATTTGCTAACAAAGGCTGCAAGAGCACGACGTTCCTCCTCAAGCTTTATCCTTGACTGTGTTCTCTCATTAGCACCATCAAGAAAGCACATAAACACGCATGAGCTAACCTTCTTCTCCTTCTCCAACTGCCTGACAAGCTCAGCTGCCCAGGCCTCCTTGTCCTCTCGCTTCTTCATTTCTTCCTCCAGTTTGGCGACCCACTCCTTCTCAACGTCTTCTCTAACGGCTCTCAAGGGCTCCCCTAGATTGTCCTCATATCCACACACTACGATTTCAAGCTCACGTATGGTCTTCGCTTGCTCAGCAATGAGCTTGTCTTTCTCAGTTTCAGAAGCATCTGGTGGGAGTTCTGGGCGAGCCAGGAGGGCAGCTTCTAGCGACAGTATTTGAGACGACTGTGACTCGAGTTGAAGGCGAGTCGCGAGAAGTTCTTGTTGAAGCTGCCATGAATCGACAAGGTTTAACTAGATAGAACGGTCTAACAGTACCGAGGGTACAAACCTGGTATGGTGACATATCGAAATCAACTTTGGATGGGCTGGCGGGACGAGATTCATCTCCTTTGCTTTCATCCACCGTTTGAGATGTTAGAATGAGCTTAGTGAGTTGTTGGATTCGAGAGTTGAGGTCCTTCATCGCTTTTGATTCATCGATTTGCTGCGACGAAAATCAGTCTGTTGAGAATTACGCAGCAGGAGGGGGCATTACCTCGCGTGCTGAGAGCCTGCGATTTCGCGGGGGTGCTTCTGCTTGTCGTTCTGAAAGCTTCGTCTTGAGGTCCTCAATCTCCTTCCTGTATCGTTCTATCAGGGCATCAGTGTCGACGATCTCTTTCTTCTTCGCACTAAGCTAGAAATGCAATGGATCAGCATCCTAGAAATAATAGATAAGAATGACCTGGCGAACCTGCACTCGTTTAATCCTCTGGGCGAACAAGAGTGTACTCGTGCTTTCTGCCACAGCATTCGCATCAGGATTAATGGTACATATGACTGATATACGAGCATCTCCTGACAACGAAGGCTGAAGCAGTCGTGTGAGCTTGGAGTTACGATAAGGTACGTGATCACTGAGAAAGGTAGTTTTAGTATCTCAAGCATAGCATAGGACGACGCCTCTGACTTTTTATTCTTTGCAGCATTGTCTGCAAGGGTGCCAATGACGCTTCCGAGTGTCAACAAGCTAGTGTTGATGTACTTCCCTTCCCTAGTTCTCTCTTTATCAGAGGTGGCTTTTTCGGAACCAGCAAGATCGATTAGGCTCTAGAAGAGAATATTCAGTAACCCCTCGGAGACTGAAAATCGAAATGAAGCCCACCAGCACCGAAGTCTGAACGCTTCTTCCTCCAATGGTCTGTAGTCGAGTACCACCAGGAGTCGGTGGTCGCAAGCCGGGAGTTTGACGGCCATTTGGTGTTTCGCTCCTTCCTTCTCCCCTCTCTCTACTCTCCACTACAAGTCGGAACACGCTGTGGCTTCGACTACTCCGTTCGTTCCAATCTGTGCTAGCCGTCCTTCTGTTCCTTTCTCCGCGTTCAAGGACTTCCTTGACGCTCTTCAGGCTTGTCACAACTTCTTCTCGGAGTGGCACTAGAATACCCGAGCCTTGAATTTGAACGGGCTGAGCAGCAGACATTGATGGTGGTGCAAGCAGATCATATATCGTTTCATTGTAAATTTCGAGATAAGAGCACCGAAGAAGATATTCGCGAGTGGGTGTGCGGCGGATGTAAGCAAACACGTCCTTCATTGCGCGCGGTATTATACCTGGTTGATCTTCGTTTCCGGACTGAACAAATAATAAGCGAAATTCGAGATATTTGTGCAAATCCGCGTCTCACAAGAGTAAATGTTTTCCCGCTGGCAGTTTGGCCATAAGCGAAGATAACAGAGTTATAGCCGTCCATGGCTGCGCAGACATGGCTGCGAGCAACAGCATTGTACACTGGCCTATTCTCAGAACCAGTAAGGACTTCGTCAAAATGAAACTCTGGTGGTGTAGTGGCAGTTGACTTGGCGTATTGAGGGAAAAGCTTGATAGTACGTTGAGTACTATGATCCCATGCGGGGTGTGCGGACACTGCTGAGGTGGTAGGGCGAATTCTATATATTTTAATAGCCTCAGTATGTGCCAAGAATGGGTCAGAATTTAAAGGACCTGATAGATACAAGGACCTTGTCCTCCTTTCCGTAGTTAGGCCCAGGGATGGCGCTGTCATCGATGTCTGCGGAAACATCACCGGGCTCAACCGTCTGGTAATCGACCAGGACATCTTCTGGATCGATCCGACTAACATCCATATCACTCGTGTTTATGTGGGATGTTGGGGTCTGACTCCTAGGTGTTCCAGGTGTGCGAGGGCGAGCTCCTTCGAATGACTTCTTTGCTGGTGTTGCAGGCACCGCTGTAAGAGAAGACTTGGTCGCGACGGTAGTCCGCAGTCGGGACTCCGAAGACAATGTTGCCTTAAATTTCTTTGCCGTCGAACCAAGAACGCTAGTCTTTATTGCAGAGGGAAGTTCACTGCTAGATGCGGAGGAAAGCGGACGTTTGGGCGTGAAGGGTACAGATCGGGTGAGCTTGCTGGGTGCTGGTGTCGAAGCCATCGTTGGCGTATATCTTGAGGTCGTAGGTGCTGTCAATCAAGGCGCGAGTATTTACTTGCAGATCGGCGTTGTAGAAAGTAAGTACATTCAACCCTGGGAACACAAGGAAACGCGTATGGTCACGTGCCAGCTAGGACGCGCCTTACCACGTGACTTTGCATATCTGTCTCATTACTGCAGAATACTTATAGCGAATACTTGATCATACAACCGTCCAACAAGCTTCATCGATCGTCCCCTACCCAATGTCGAGCGTTCCTGACATGCTTATCAACATCAACAGACGCCTTGTAGAATTCCACTCTTTCATACTTCAGACCAGCATTTCACTCCCCGTACCTGCCGTGCTTCTTGTGCCAGCTCTCGATAGAATCACTGCCGTAGTTCTTGTAGACCTTCTTCCTACCTTCTGGAAGACGCACATAGTTAGGCTTTGAGTTCGTTTTAACAACAACCTTTTAAATCTACTTGTCAGTAACCGCGATCAAGTTGCTACAGAAACTTACAAGCTCATCCGGTGCCTCTAGTTCTGGGGAGTCGATGACTGATGCAAATGGATGCAAGAGCTCTGGCCTTCGTGCGATATAGTTGTACAATCAATCACAAATATCACTGAATCGCTCACCATTTCTCGTCATAAAGCCAGAGCATAGAAGAGTACTTTGTGCAAAAATTGCGCTTAGAGGAGACAATGTGTTCTTTTTGAGTATCCCTATCCATCACAGCTTTATACACTCTTATTCTCAGTCTCAACAAGGATCCACGGGAAGTTTTGCTGACTGAACTACGCACCCGATCTGTTCTTTACCTTTGGTGATATTCAATGTTTTGGAATGTGCACCGAGGTTGATTGAGCCGCCAACACCACCTGCTTTGCGGCAGATGGAACATACACATAACTTTATCCACTGTCACGAAAGACGCTAAAGATGAGATAATGCTCACTTGGTATGGGACTGGGGTGCTGCTTTCCACTGTAAATCGCACAGTACCACAGTGGCAGCTCCCTTCAAGTGTGATAGGCATAGTGTTCAAGTGAAAGTCAAGCTTGCCCCTAAAGTGACATTTACTCGTGACCTGACCTAAATTTAAAGTTTAAATCTCCGCTTAAATCTACTCTATATAATCCCTGTAAATTTTTTATGATTCCCTAAGAAGGCTTGCCACGCTGGTCGTTTCAGAATTTTCCACTGTCGACACAGTGCCATGGACTCTACGAGTCTTTGTTTACCTTCGAGAACAAACCCACTATAGGAAGTGTCTCGGCGCCATTTTGTGGCCGTGGCATGTCGATTTTCTCTGGGACATCTGAATCTATCCACATCCTTTATGATCCTACCCAATGTGAGTCTTACATTCCTTTATCCTTCGTATTGCGCACATCCATATCGTCCATGATCTTTAAAAATATACTGATTTTAATGAATACGACCTGCTTGACAAGTGGGATATGACCTCGACATATTTCTTTCTGAGACCTTGACCTTTTCTCTCTTCCAATCTGTTCCAGTGGCTCCGATCGCTGACTGTCTTATCGTATAGGTGCTTCTCGGGTGGTCTTGATGACCTTCTCTCAATTCATGTACATTTCGCTATAGAACCTGATAGAACTCGAATATAATCATTTTCTCCAGAGTCTAGACAGTCTGAACTAGTTTGTACGTGGGGGGAAAGAAAAGCAAAGGCACGCTGCTTAGTCTCCCGTAGTCAGACCTTGAAAGAAGAACTTTCAACACAGTCGTTCCTTCAACTCAAAGGCCGCGTGCTCCACTGCCGCTGCTGGCAGAAAGTTCTTATTCTTATTCTCTCAACATGCCTCGAGTCCCTGGTTCCTTTCAGCCTGAGTCTCGTGAAGATTTTGTCAGATACTAGATGCTGGCTCCTAGCGCTCGTGCGGGTTAATAGCCCAAGGAGGAAGATCGTGATCTGGTTGCCTAAAGTAACTGGAAGATCATCTGCCGGGGTTCCTTCGGTCAGTTTCCCTTTTGTGCTTGGATGACAGATAATCGATAAGGCGTGAAGCAGGTGCTGCACTATGAACACAATCGGCTTAGCCCTGCCCTTCTTTCACATCTCGTCTTTCTACTGGCACATCTAACCCATCCTGCCGATTACCTCAACTCTTGTCGAGAGCAATAGCATGGCAGAACCCACCGTCACTGTCGATTCGATGCCAAAAACTCGTGATTATCAGCAAGAAATGCTGAGCGCCAGTCTCAAAGAAAATATCATCATCGCTCAGGATACCGGTTCTGGCAAGACTTTGATTGCGATTCTAAGGATGAGATATGAAATAGAACGCGGCTCTCAAAAGGTACGTTCACGTCGTGCAGTCCCAAGGTTCTATTTCACAGATGTTCCTAGGTGTCATGGTTTTTGGCGCCTACTGTGGCTCTATGCGAGCAGCAGCACCGCGTGATCAAGGATAGCATGCAGGTCCCTGTTGGCCTAATTCACGGGGCGCTTGAGCCAAAGCAATGGACCGACATTTCCTTGTGGAAACGAGTACTGGAAAATAATCGTGTTATAGTATCTACTCCGCAGGTCCTCCTTGACGCACTTAGCCACGGCTACGTTCATATGGGGCTGGACATCGGGCTCTTAGTCTTCGATGAGGCTCATCATGCGGATCGAAATCACCCTATGAGTTGCATCATGCGAGGTTTCTACTTTACCCTCCCTTCGCGCCTCCCTGCAGTCAGTGAGTCCAGCGAGCCGACTAGGGAGGAACGTCCCATGATCTTGGGCCTCACCGCTAGCCCTATGTTTGGCGGAAATGCTAATGTAGCCTTCCGGTATGGTCCTCGGATTGGAGACTATAAATAGAATTGATACCCTTTTCAGGACATTAGAGGACAACCTTGACTGCGTTATTCGTAGTCCTCGAACCAACCGGGGTGAGCTCTTGACTCATGTCCACCGTCCGGTATTCCGACACGTGCGCTACGATACCCCGCAATACCTGGATCGCAACTATACTTCTAAAAATTTGTCGTCAGTCCGAGCCGTTTTGGCCACTATGAACATCGAGGAGGATCCCTGCGTTATACAGTTACGTCAGACTCTAGTGAAAACTTTACCAGGCCAGGAGTATACACGACTGGACCAGAAACTATCTAAAACGATTCGGAACAAGAAGACGTACTCGCACAGTGGAATGAACGATCTCGCGAACGCGGCCGTTGCCATATGTTATGACATTGGTCCATGGGCGGCGGACTGGTACATCGATGGCGTTGTATCCCGAGCACTAGATAAACAAAATCCTCACGACGCTTTCACTGAATCCTTGCAACCCAAGGAGAAGACTTACTTGATGAAATATCTCTCTCAAATTGAGCTGACGTCCCTGTCTTTCGATCCTGTGGACATCGAGGCCGGGATCACGGACAAAGTCCGCGTCCTATTGGATACATTGGAGTACGAAAAGGAATGGTCAGAGTCATCGAATGAGCCCTATAGTGGCTTGATCTTTGTCAGGCGCCGTGATGAAGTGTTGGCACTGGCCGAGGTTCTAAGGAACCATCCCCGCAGTGCTCCTCATTTCAGACTCGGGTGCCTCCTGGGAAGCTCTCAATGCTCCTATCGCAACACCTTTCTTGACATTACTCGTACGTTCCTGAAGGACCAATCAGACGTTCTCGATGATTTCCGGTCTGGAGACAAGAATCTCATCGTCGCCACGTCCGTGGCGGAAGAGGGGCTTGACATCCAGGCGTGTGGAAATGTGATCAGGTGGGATATCCCTGAAAACATGGCGAGCTGGACCCAGAGCAGAGGTCGTGCTCGCAGGAAGAGGAGCTCTTTTGTTCTCATGTTTGAATCGGCAGGTGTTGACGACGCTAGGGTGTTGGAGTTCGAGAATTTGGAACGCCAAATGACAGCCCTTTACCAGGCCGACCGTATTTCCAGACCGGTAGCTTCCAGTGATGAAGAAGAGCCCGATGGAGAAGAGCCCGTTTTCAAGGTGAAGTCTACAGGGTGAGCAATATGCCCGTATTCGAAGCCACCGTGTTCATCCATAGATAGAGCTACGCTCACCCCGCTACAAGCGGTCACTCATCTTAATCATTTCTGCGCACATTCAGGATATACTGCTCCCGTTTATGACATCGACCCCCCTGACATGCCTGAAGGTTGGCACTCTTTCGACGCTCCGCAACGCGACGATCCCCCTCCATATCCGGGACCATTCGGGTGCAAGGTGACTTTGCCAAGAACGCTACTAGCGGAACTGCGGGTCTTCACAGTTGACCGCATATACCCCTCAAAGAAATCCGCATACCGGCATGTCGCATTCAAGGCTTACCTCGCTCTCTATCATGCCGATCTCCTCGACGATCATCTCCTGCCGTCCACTGAGCTTGTTCTGGACGAAGAAGTCCAGAATCTTCTCAAAGATGTCGAGAAACGATCCGGTATGACCTCCGTTAGTAGCCAGATGAATCCTTGGCAGGATGAAGAGGCAGACGCGCCGTGGAGAGCCACTCGCATTATCATACAAGGTTTCGCTCCTGTCCGCATGCTTACTCAAGTCGACCTTCCATCTTTTGCTGCTGGGGAGGCACCCGTGCTCTACCATCCTCATAAAGGTCGTATCAATATTGAATTGCAGGCACAGGGTGTGGCCCCCCTTAGTGACCTTCAAGCTACTCAGGAAACTACACGATGTCTGTTCTGGTGTTTGTACGGAAGGAGCATGCAGTGGGACAGACTCGACTTTGCGTATCTGTTTGAACCTGCCGAGGAAGACCCTGAGCGAGAGGTCTGGAATGCACGTCGAAGGTGGCTGCGGGACTTGCTAGGGGAAGAGTCCCGCGGAGATGAGCTCTTTGCAAACGCAGCCACTTTCGGAGAGGCGTTCTCGTACCCATCCGACATCACCTGGGTTCGCGATGGGTTTCCCTACGGCAAGGTTTACCGCTTCCTTGGGTGGAGGCATGATCTTCTATCCGAGGAAGAGCTGCAAGGTTTCTCTGCCAAATATTCGAAAATAGCCGACTTGGAGGTCACCTACCCGTTGCTTCATGTGGAGGAGTTGCCACGAAGAGCAAATTTCCTGGTGCCTCTAGCATCCACTAGTGAATCATCATTGAGGAGGTCGTTTCTCCGGCCTCAGTCGTCCCGCATTGTCCTTCTTTCTCGAGTGCAATGCGACCACGCCACTTTGATACCCTCCATCATTCGCCATATTTCCGTCGCCGCAACCGCTGTGTCTCTTCGAGAGACTTTATTCACCGGGACCCCACTTTATAATATTGCTTTCCCTCTTCTGATCACGGCAGTCACCGCCCCTGTAGCCCAAGATCACGTCCACTATCAACGATTAGAGACTCTCGGAGATGGCGTCCTGAAGTTTGTGGTATCGATGCATCTATTTGCCACCCAACCCTCGTGGTATGAAGGAAGACTCACAAGGCGTAAAGACCATATGGTCTCCAACTCCCGACTGGCAAAAGAAGCCATTAGACTATCCCTGTACAAGTGGATCGCACGCGATCGTTTTAACCCTCGGAAGTTCGTACCACAATACTTGACTCAGGAAGAAGCGGAGATTCCTGAGGACGTAGTCACTGGTGACTCATCTCAAGAAACGCGCAAAGCAGCTGAGGACTTGTCCACAAAGATGCTTGCGGACGTGGTAGAAGCCCTCATTGGAGCCGCTTACCTTCATGGCGGGTTTAATCTTGGCATTGAGTGTACCCGGCTCCTTGACCTCGGTGTCGGCCCCAAGCAAGGATGGCAACCTCTCGAGGTTTACATTGACAAAGCGCTTTCGCGCGTGGACACCCTTGAGTCCCCCACTCAAATGACAGACGTCGAACTCATGTTAGGATACACATTTACCCACAAAATCCTCCTCCTCGAAGCCATAACTCACGCAAGCTACCAATTCGATCTTCAGGTATCATATGAACGCATGGAGTTTTTGGGCGACTCTGTGCTTGATATGATCGTCACGCACCATCTCTATCATTACCCAGGAAAGGAATTTAGCCCTGGCCAGATGCATATCCGCAAATCTGCTGTCGTTAACAAGCATTTCCTCGCTTATATTTGTGTCCAGTGCTCGCTGGAGAAAGACGCGAGCTTACCTGGCCCCACCCACGGTGGTATTGCTATGGATGAAGAAACGCAACGGATATCTCTATACCAATATCTCCTCTACTCCGACCCAGCAATTCTGGACCAGCAAAGGGGGACGCTCGCTCGTTACCGGAAAGTGAAAGATGAAATAGATGAAGCCCTCCTTCACGGCACCACGTTCCCGTGGGCGGCCCTCACCCGCCTCCAAGCACCCAAATTCTTCAGCGACATGATCGAGAGTATCATCGGCGCCGTTTATCTCGACTCTCACGGAAATTTGGATGTCGTTCGTGAAATTCTTCGCAATCTGGGTATAATGCAACACCTGGAGCGCATCCTGAAGGATGAGGTCGATGTTTTGCATCCACTCAGCAGGCTGAACGTATGGGCTTCACGCGAATATAAGAAGTTAACCTCCGCATTTGAGGAAGAGAGGGGTCATGTCACCTGCACTATTGCTATAGAAGGCAGAGAGCCCGTACAGGCTACCGCAGAGAAACGAGGACGGGCTAGCAAAGAGGAGGCCAGATTCGCAGCAGCAGAGAAGGCGGTACAACTCTGGAACGTCCCAGCTACCGACGGAATCAAAGATGCATGAGTTCGAGATTTTATATCTTTTTATGGTACAAAGCAGCGGAATTGAAGATTGCATGAATTCGATATCTTGTACATCACGCGACAGGTCCCACTGTGACGGAGGGGATCTCGTCTTCTTCATATTTCACTCATCCACGCCGGTTTCGCGCCAGATATAACAGTGCGGGGCAGTCGGATTTGATGTGGTGGGTGCGCTTCGCTAAAGGCCACGTCAGTCAGGGTCAGGACAACGGGGAGCAAACTTGTCTTGCTCACTTGGAAACCGTGATCCAAACATCTGCTACACCAAACTATGATCCTGCGTCGTCCGGACGTCCGAAGTCAAGTAAGCAAGCAAAGCCATGACTGTCATGACGATCACGCTTTATTGTCGTCACGTCGTGGCGAATCGGCGATCCACTTGCTCTGATTGCTGATTGCCCTACCGTACATGTGTTTGTCGAATGCTCGGTCATTTTTGTAGCATCGTGCAGTAGAGGTTCAGTATAATTCCATCTTTCATCTTCTCTACACTTTGTGTGGGGAATTTATACATGGTATCTGGGTTAATACCTACAAGCCGCTCCCAGCCAACCAACGTTGTACCATGGCGAGTGCCTCTTTGGGTTTGTCGTACGGGACCTGTCACTATGAGTTGGCATTGCAATGGAGTTGAAAGTGAGCTTGACACTGACCATATGGCCTGCACCATCTATAGTAGCAAACGTGAGTCCATTCGCACTCCTGGTCTTCCCAGCGATCTCTCCCTCAACCAGCCAAGCCTCGAGTGGTTGCTGTCCAAACGCTTCTTTGCCGCTCCACTCCATGTTAAGTGTCCACGCCTGGTTACCGAGCCAGTTGCAAATCCAGTCATAAGTGCCTACATATATCAATGCGCGTACGCCGCGTTCGAGAAGTGCAGCGACATGAGGGTATGTTGCGTGATACTCATCCTCAGCTAAGGCAAAAGCCTGTCCAACAGCATCACTGCAGGAGCTGAAGTTACCTGTGACGGAGGGATCCACGCCGAGCTTTTCGCGCACGGAGGGGCGATCAAGGAAGCTTGATATATACCTGATATGAATGTTTAGTCATGTTGTTTGTACAGAAGTAGCATCGACTCACTTCGTGACCGGATAGCACAAAGTCTCCTCGATAGGTCCATCGCAGTCTTTGCTGATATCGTAGGGATTCTTGCCTATCATAGCATAAACGTGTGGTGGACAAGAGAGATTGTTATAAGTTAAGCCTACCGGTCGAGAAGAAAGCACCGGATATCTCAGTATCGCAAAAGCTTGCAGCTGCACCGCAGTTCATTGCATCAAACTGGTTAATGCATGATTCTGTCAACCACTTTTGGCAGCGAGGAAGCTGTGGGAAGTAGGTCAGCTCCGACGACGTCACCTGCATGAAGGCATCGAACCGCTTGCTTCATACGATTGCAGGAACTGGAGAGATAGTCAATCAAGGCATGACAGTGTTAGAATTCACATACGAGATACTTTGCACAGGGAAAACTGATGCACCGGTGCATTGCATTTCTACATAGGCCGCCGACATTGTGTAAAAGTCGGTCAAACCGTTACCTGCACATGGGATGAGCTGATGAAAGGTTTCTGATACCTATAGTTACCGATCATGATAGACTGGAGGTTGATGGGGGTGGCGCCAGCCGCGGTTAGCACGGCATTTTGGTCGTAGACTTCAGCAGCAAAGACTGGAATGTAACGCCCCTTCAGTCTCCCGATTAGTCTCTCTCTACGCCAGAAGGGTAGGTACATACTCCATAAGACTCTCCGGCCATGTGAAACGCGCGTCCTTTGAACTGGGTAAAGTTTTCAAAGAAAATGGCGACAAACGCAGCAATATCTTTCGCAGCTTCCTCAGTTGTGCTCTTTCCAGATGGTGAATAGTGTAGTTTAATGCGGCAGGCATTCCACCTACCACAGTCTCGCCATATTCAGCATACGAGAAACCAACACCGATTGGCTGGTCCACGAAGAAGACATTCGCATTGGAATTCCAGGACTCCGGATGGAATACGGTCCCATTGTCATTCACCACCCGACAAGGTCCCAGTTCCATATAGAGACCCAGGCTGGAGGAACACCCAGGACCTTATAAATATTGTGTTATTTGAATCGGAACACTTCCCACGGTACAACTCACCGCCATTGGTCCAGAAGATTACATCGTCTTTAGCAGGATCATTCCTACTCTCGAAGAAGTAAAAGAATAGATGCCTGGCCTCGATATCGATATAACCTGTGTAAGCGCTGAGGTTATCGTGTCAGTCCTGGCAAATACATCCACAGGCTGTTCTCACTTAACAGTTCCATCACAGAAATCAGAAGACTTCTTGATCCGAACGCTGTAGTTCGGGAACACAGGATGACCAAGAGTTGTGAATTGGGCCTCTGAGAGTACGCTGAGTTGCTCGACAGGATTGAACAACCCTTCATCGTAAGGCGCTGTATAAGACTGTGCAAATGATTTCACTGGCTGTTTTGAAGTTCCATGACCAGTAGGAGTGCCTAAACCGAAATACGCCTGGGTTGTCGCGCCAGCCGTAAGCGCAAAACAGAGGGTGCTGAAAACCCTCCCTTTGGTAAACATGGTGGGGAAAGGTAGAGTTGCGAAATGAAATAATCACAACGCGGCTTTGATTCCCAGACCATGTAGTTGACCATATGGGTCACGAGGTCACGAGGCCGCCGCGGCACCCATACCCTTCAGTCCAGTGAAACTTATTGAGTGTGGGAGACGCTAGGGACTGTCTTCCTTCTATTCGGTGGCTTCTCGTGTTCCCCCATTACCCAAACTAAGTAATACTCCTATGATGTTCAAATTTGGGTCAATTTGGCGGCTTTTAGTTCAGCCGAAAAGCTGTTTTACTATATATAGCTATTTGTTGTAAATCGACAAATATGCCAAAATACATATGGCGCGCTTGCATGAAAATTCATTCAAGTTTAAGCAGGACGTGTCAGTGACACGTACAGTGACGCCTCCCAACTATTTCAGCGATTTCGCCTCTGCCAGACCTTGTTAATCATGTCTCCTCCAATTTCCGGGAAAAGCAAGGAGTCCGGGACTGCCCGGATTCTGGGGTCTGGTGCATCTGGTGCGTACTTTGGTCATGGTCTGCTATGCTGGCAATGAAGTAGCTCACTGCGTCATGGCCACCAGGTGTCGCTGAGCTGCTGGTATTCCATCCAGTTGACACAGTAGCCAAACGGCTTATGAGCAACAAAGCCAAAGTGATTATCACCATAACACTCATTTACTGTATCTTGTTGACTACCCTTGGCACCAGGTCTCCTTCTCGGCACTCTCCCCAATCATCTTCCGAGACTATGCTACGGCTTCCCTACCAAAAAAACTTCTGTCTCTCTTCCCCGGTCTTGGATATGCGGCAGGGTACAAAATTTCCCAAAGAATATACAAATTTGGTGGGCAGCCGTGGTTCAATGAGGTCATCACCCGACATTACAAGGATGAGTTCACGCGCGTATTTGGTGAGAGGAAAGGGAAAATGATGATGCAGGCAACTGCTGGCAGGTGAGCTTCATTTTTTCCGTGTGCTCAACAAAATTCCTAAACCGTGTTGATTCCTTCGTGCAGCTTGACCGGCATCGGTGAAGTCGTGAGTCATATATTTCATCCCTAGCTTCTTCGAGGGTTATTAATTTTTCATAAGGTCCTACTTCCTTTGGACGCCTTGAAGATAAAACGGCAAGTAAATCCTGAGGCGTTCCGTGGACGAGGAGTCCTTCGGATATTCATGGAAGAAGGCACTACCCTATACCGTGGATGGGGCTGGACTATGGCGCGTAACGCGCCAGGCTCTTTTGCGGTAAGTTCATTGATGGTGGAATTTATTTTTTCCTCGTTCTGAACCTCAGTTTCAGCTTTTCGGCGCGTCGGCGGTTACGAAGGAGTACGCCCTTGGCGTCACAGACTATTCCAAAGCCACATGGACCCAGAACTTCATCGCATCCATTGCAGGAGCTGTTGCGTCGATCACGATTGCAGCACCGCTTGACACAGTCAAGACTCGTATCCAAAATGCAAACTTCGAGCAGAAGGTGCCTGGCCTCACGGTTGTGAGGGACCTTATCCGAAATGAAGGTCCTACGGCCTTCTTCAAGGGCTTGACCCCAAAAGTGATTACTATTTGTCCTGGTGCGACCTCTTGCTAACGACTTGTGAATGTAGATTCTTGTCGTTGGGCCGAAGCTGGTCTTCAGTTATACCCTCGCACAATCACTAATACCCTTATTTGGGAAGTACGTATGAGCGGCAACGCACCATCACTTAGTCTACGATATCTCGATGCTGCCTGGCTTCTGGTCATTGGTTATAACCTTGTTCAATTTGCTACGCTGATCTAGAAGCAACAGAGTAATACACTCATCTCACAAATAAAGTCGTCAAGGACGAGCGTGGCACCTCTGCCTTAACTGTACTAGATTATCAAGAGGAAGCCTCTGCTATCACCACCCTGTCTCCGTGTCTGAATCAAATTCGCACTACCTCCGTGCGTCTGAAGGGTTCATTTGGTGCCAAAAGTGGACCATCGCTGTAAATCTCAGCTTACCGATGCTATGCCTGGATAAGTACTTTACAGTGAGCGCGAAGCAAAAAGTGTTTTCCATACTCGGCTTAACTTGGGTCTCAGAGCTTCTTCATTCTTTGCAGCCATGAACCGTGCTGCCGAAGTCTATGCAGTCCAATTCTATCTTCTAGTGACAAGTTCACGCCTTCGTATCATGGAACACTTCTCCTGAGACATCCAGCTTCCGATTCGTAATATAGACTATAGGGGAATCAGAACCTGGATGTCTCAGAGAGGGTTCATCAGAAGGAAGCTCACTCTGGACCCTCCTGAGGCACTCATCGAGTTTCCCAATTCGCCAGGCATTCTTTGTATGACTGGTGGCCGCACTGCCAGTGGATGCCGCAGCCCTATGCAGCCTGGGTCGTGCTTTATTTCTGGAATTCGATTTTGGAGATCAGCCATACTCACATATATCCGACAATCTCCTCCGGGCAGTGCCGTGGCCTAGACCATCATGGTACAAGATTACCTGAATCTACTACAATCGGACAGCAAGCGGCCGGACTGTCGTCCCAGTATCTCGCATACTCCAATGGGGTTTCACTGGGTTGAAGACTCGAGAATATCCCCGGCTACCGCGAGCGCTGGCCTGGTAATTCATCCGTCAATTGCCAATTGTTTCTGATCGCCTTCAACTAAGGCCCCGCGTTGTGCTTGTCTTGTGTCTTGAAACTCTACCATCGTGTTCACCAAATGCAAGACCTTTATCATCCTCTGTTTCGCGCTTACAGGCGGCGCGACAACGCAGTCGTTCCTCGGTATAGGAACTTCCGATCACGGAACTTCAAGACAGCCAGTGAAGTCGTTTACAACGTCTTACAGTGCCTTCGGACAAAGAGTTGTTCCATCCTGTCGAGCAACTCAGCGCACTCTCAGAGGTACAATTTACCACCCTCGGTCACCCTGTGTTCTTGAACTACAGCGTCCGCATTAAAAAGTCTAGTGATTTTTGTGATGAAACTGTGAAGCGAGTACAGTCTGCGGATGTATTCATCAGGGCTGACACGACAACAAGTCGACCCTCAGCACTTACACGGGGTATATAGACATCGAGGCCAGGCGTTTTTTCTTTTACTTCTTCGAGAGGAGGAATGATCCTGCCAAAAACGATGTGATCTTCTGGACCAATGGTGGTGAGTTGCATCATAGGGTAGCGTTCCTATCGATGTGGTTTGACGTACAACATTTAGGCCGATCACTGGCTTCCCGTATGTTCGGTCGATCTATTGACGCAAGGCTTGAACGGGGAACCGCTCAGATTTCCCCTTCATCTGTGGTACTCTCCGACTGCGCTATCGCGTTGCGCACCCATTAACCGTGCTATCTATCACATCACGTCCGGTGCCGCTGCAAAAGCTTGGTGCGGCACGGTTATCTTCCTGAAGTTCAACGGGTCTCGGCGTAAGGGTTTTTCCAAAGTAGTCGGGGTCGGTGGTACATTGTGTCTAAAAAGTGTACAACTGTCTACAAAAATATTCACATGGTGCAAGAGACAAAAGTGCCCAGACAAAAGAGGTGCTGATAGCTTGAAGAAAGGACGGCGTGAGCTGGTGAATTCCTGTCCAGATGCCCTTGCTGGAGAATAAGGCCTCAAGTACCGAAATCTAATATTGTTCAGCCCAGGATCGTCTGCCTGTAACCTTGGCTTGAAGAATATATCACAATCGAGAGAGGTTCCAAAAACTCACTACCGGACAAAATTTACTAGATGGCGGTGATGGCGCAAGCGGCTTAGCATGGCCCGGCGGAAGGCTCTCAACAGGGGAATAGTAGTCGTCGAACACATTGCTGCGTCTTGTGGTAGATAAATTGATGCAATCATGCTCATAACTAAGGGCACTTAAGCGCGGCTCTTCTCGTCGGCTTCACCATATGACACTTGCGATGGATTATCCGATATAACCTTATCTTCCCCTTCAAAAGCGGCATCGGCCTTCTCGAAATGAGAACTGTGGTTTCTAGGAGGATGTGAGCAATTCGATTTCTAAGGACATGAGTGGGACTTACTCAGGTCCAATGATCGTGATGATAACCGCGAGTGCAACAACAGCACCAATAAAGATGGCTTGCACCTGATGGAGTATGGATGAGACCATACCGAAGTGGAACTTGGAGGCTTACCGTTGCATAGTCTGGAACCACAGTGGGAACTCCATCCTCAATTATGGTCGTCTTAAAGTGGTTACCGCCAGCTGATATACATTAAAATCGTCCTTGGCTGAAGGGAGCATCACTGTCCACTCACTGGCTTCAATCTGTGCTGATGCTGACGATACCATCTACCAGGATCACGTTAGCCACAAGTATCGCGCGATGTCCACTCGACTTACATTACCGAGCTGGTAAACAACACCAGGGAATGTTGCTCTGAATGCTGGTGGGGACATCTCGGCCAGTTGGATCGGGATCTACAATGATGTCGGGAGACAGGTTTGCAACAAGAGTAGGAGAACACGTACGACGCCCCAGGCGCCCTGAACACCGAGTTGAAAGCAGAACGCTCCGACAGAAAGGGCAGAGAACGAGGAGGGTAGAACCCATAATGGAATGAACGCTGCGAACAATCATAAATCTTGGTCTATTTATTACCGGAATTGGTGCTTACCTCCGACGAGAAGCACGAAAATTCTGATGAAAGGTGAGTAAAGCTATGCAAATACCATTATGGAACGCACATACACGATCGTCAGGCGGCGTCCAATGTACTGGCTTGCCCATCCGCCAATAGCACCGCCGCTGTATGGCCGTCAGGACTTTGACTGTATGTAGAACTAACTAACAACTCACACAACAGCACCCTGTTAAGGCATATTGAGAGTTGACATGCAGATAATTTTGTAAGACGTACGCAGTTGCTAATAATGGTCGCGATACTCGCGCTGTGAGCAGTGAAACCCTTGGTGGTCTCGAGGTACGTGGGATACAGATCCTAAGCATGTTGCATTATGAAGCGCATGTTCCTACGCGGGATGCACGTACCTGTGAACCATGAGCCATGAAATTAAGCACTGCAAAGGGGTATTGGTATGTTCATTGTCAGGGAGCTAAAAAAAATTACCTGTCATTAAGAGCACTGCGTAAATGCATAAAAGCCAGTGACGCTCAAGCATATCCTTCGTTTCCCTAATGAAAATCTTGGTTTTCTGCGAGGTATTAGTACCATTTGCATTCCCTTGTTCCTTGGTACGCGAGAAGAACGCGCTCTCAGGAACAAGAGCGCGGATAACCGCGGCGAAGAAGGTGATGCCTGCTCCAGTCCAGAAAATCACCCGCCATGTGTGCTTGGCTACCAAGGTCAGATTGATAACGGCTGCAAGCAGGGATCCGACAACATAGCCTTCCTGCAAGATCCCGCTTGCAAGCCCACGAAGCTCAACAGGCAAGTTCTCAAGAGCTGAGGACGATGAAAGCCCCCAGATTCCACCCATAGCAATACCAAATAGTGCACGAACGGCGAGGAATTGCGAAAAAGTGTTGACAAAGCCAGTTCCCAGTTCAAGAGCAGAACAAATAATGAGATTAACAACCAGTGGCCACTTGCGGCCAAACCGGTCAGATACGATACCAAATATCATCTATGTAGTAAATGGTAAGCTTAGTGGGGAACTGCGGGCATGATGCTTACGGCACCGACTGATCGGAATAAGAGAGTTAACGTCAACGCGGTCGTCTGTGACCATGTCGTGCCAATCAGCTGCGCAAGCAACGAGGGAAGGAAAAAGACGTACAATCGCACTCGTTGACTTTCCAAATTGTTTAGACAAGAGCGGTACCGTTAGCGATACCGCGAAGAAATCGATGGCGTCGCATGTCCAGGCAAGCCAGCTATCGCAACTTTTGGTTAAGACACAGCGCGAGGCTAGCGATGGATCTAGGATACTAACCCAGACCAGAACAGAACCCACTGCATCAAGGTGAGGCTTTTAAGCGCAACAACTACAGCACAAAAAGGGGCACGATTCTCGCGACGTGGGATGAGCTCTCGAATAAATCTTGGTGCCATGGTGGGCTTGGGATGGTCTGATTTCGGAGGAGGGTCAGCGTCAGAGCGTGCTTTATATTCGCGAGAAGGCGATCAGGACCACCCTAACCTCGGGTACTCAGTGTGCAAGGTGATAACCCCCACCAATATAGTTCTTTGGCCTCAAGTATTCACGTTCCACGTCATCCGATCCTTCCTCATACAAAATGGTGCTTCCAATTTCAATCATCAAACCTCATGCCGAGAATTCAGCGGAATGCATCCTGGAGAGGCTAGCGCAAAACCCCAAACACCGCCGGGCCTGTAATAATTGACACAGCATGATAAACGCAAGGTGATTGGAAGGGCAGGAATCAGGTATTTACTTACTCATTGCACTTCTGCTTCTAGCTAACGTTAACGCATTAGCTACAGTACCAACATCGATCATCGGAGCGGGGCTATGCATATCGGTTAACAATAAGCATCACATCTTGGACATAATTCGAACTTATTCAGACGGTCTCGAATTCGGTTTCTTAGCCACATCTTGCTTAACCTCTGACGAGTTAAGATTTCTTGGATCTATGCGGAGCCTGTCGCGCACGGAGAGGCGATAAAGTATATACCTAGCATAAACTTTTAGCTAGGCTGCTTCACACCGTGACAGAAGTAGTATTAGCTCACCGGGTAGCACAACGTCTCCTCGATGAATCCATCGCAGCCCTCCTTAAATGATATCGTGGGGATTATTGCCTGCCACTGCATAAATGTGTGCACGTAGACAAGGGAGACCGTCAAGGTCAAGCCTACGGACGGTCGAGAAACAATACAATGGCTCAAAGGGAATTCACGTCATAGAAACGCTCTCAGCTGTCGCGTCAGTCCCCGGCAGGCGCCGGAAAGACTCGTGCAACACGTCGATCTAGCTGTCGATTCCAAACGCACACAGTCATGGATCCAGACGCGGAGCATGTTGTACAATAAGAGTTCAAGATATTTGAGAGTTCATAGAAAGGGTAGATCTTCCCGGGCCAGGTGAAAATGACGCTGTGGTTGTGATGCGCCTGACACGACCGCGGCCGTAAAGACATGCTCGATGCTCAATTACCAAGATCTGTCCCAGGTGCAACATTCGTCACGTCCAGCGGAGTTTAAAACTTCAAAATGAAGTTTGGTGTGAGTTGGAAGTCAGTCACGCCGTTAACTGTACATGAGATGAACTAATGAACAGTGTCTGATGCCTACAGCTGCCAATTATCTGAAGATTGATGGGCGTGACACCAGCTACCACGGCACTCACTTTTTATTATGATTCCGACTGACAAGAATTCCGAGTACCAGTAACTATGATTGGATAACAGACGAACTCTAGCCTTTAGATTTCGTACACCGGTGAGCGCCCACTTTTACAACGCCTCAACTGGGCTTCCCTGAAGAGGTCTCGCATTAACTCTAGTTCGTCTATAGTCTTTTCTGACAGTTTTTGGTCTCTCACTGTGGAAACCATAGTGCTGTTGGCGACGATGTACACCCTCTGATCGGGTAAATTCGCATCCTGAAGGTTGCGCCTCACGGTGGCACGAGTTTCGGCGATGTATTGCTCGCGCGCGGAGCTATACAATGCGTTACGACGCGAGTGGTTTTCATCTTCATCGCTATCATAACCCAATTCCTTGATGATGTTTCTGATATGCGTGTCTGATTTCGACCGCACGATATAAGTGGGGATGTTAAAACGCCGGCAATTGACCAGCATGGCGAGGTCAGTCATTGTAAACCGGCTGTCGAAAAGGATAATGATGCAGTCGAAAACGTAGAGTCCTTGTGCAGTGAAATACTGCCAATCTGGCGTGTTCAATGTGCCGGATCCTGGGACATCGTACCAAGCGAACGGGTTCCGCGGGTTTGGATCTGAGAATCTGGTGACGTCCGCGGTGGTCTCAACCACCCCCGTTGGGGCAGCCCCCTGATCTCTGTTTCGAAGGCCTCGGAAGGCATTGATCAGCGATGACTTTCCCGCACCCGAAACCCCTGTCACCGCGAAATGGAATAGCCCTTCCTCGTATTGGACTCTGTGCTTTGCCGACTGTATCTCCTTATCGCTGGGGATGTTTACGAGCTGGAAGGCGCTGTGTTTTTCCAAGGTCTGCGGGTCATCCTTCCCATTTATGGCATTTCCAGCAATTGTAGTGCTTGCTGTAGCATCGACTTGAGCCAAAAATGCAAGTGGACAACGGATACTTTCTTGCCTTTTTTGTTGGACTTCGTGCCCGAGACGTCTTTTCCCTTCACATCCATGTGGAGCACGGCGGCTTGACGCCCCGGTGTTTCATACAGACGCCTCCGTGTCGTTTCTTCTGAAGCATGTATTCCTACTTCGCTTGGCCTCCGCCCCACATCAGCTACATGATCTGTTTGTGCCCAGTAAGTTTCTTCAACGTTCGCCCCGGTGGTATGTGGTGCTATATTGGCTTGGAGTTCGGCTGTTTCTCCCCCCCTAATTTCTTCTTCCGCGTCCAGAACGATATGATCTTCGTCTTCCCATTCATCATCCTGCCATTCCGCCATTGGCATCCTGTTAGATTGTCGTTGAAGATATGAGTCTCTGGCGAGTCTCAGGTTTGCGAAAGTGGGGTTTTCGAGGATTCCTGATGACTGAATTTCTTCGATGATTGTAAGAACGATGCCAGCGATGGCCCGAAGACCATTCGCGGGGAGGGACATTGATGTACCCATCGTTCATGCGACAGGTTAAAGTTGTCTATCACACACTCGAAGGGAAGGTAGGAAAGATGGGTCTTGCAGAAGGCGGTGGTTTTATATGCATCTTGTAATGCTGTGTCGCCTCGAGGACCAATGCACATTAGAGGTCCGGCTTGTCTCGTGGCTGATCGTCTTTTCTCTAAAGGGCAGTTGTGGAAACTACCATATAGTGCAAGCCCGCGAGGTTTTACTTTCATGCCCGCTTGTTGCCTGATCCAGGCCAAGGGTATTGCGCTAGTTGGACCTCCATTGACACTTTTGTACTCAAACAGTATACGATATACATATGTGAGCGAAGCCGGTGCCTAGTTAGAAGGATAAAGATGATGATGATGATGATATCAATAATAATAATAATAATTGTAAGGCAGGAGAATTGGAGGTGTGTTAGCGGATACCGATGACTTAAGAACTTGAATATTGTGGGTGATAGGGCAGTGATGGCCTGGGAAGGAGGCTTCCTGAGAGCAACAGACCATCATTCGATGACGTAGAGCTCAGGGATCCAAACATTCCTGTAATAATGGGCCGACAGGATAATCACATCTGACGGACGAACACCGTTTTCGCTGAAGGTCCACTTTTCCCAACCACGTGCGACGGGCTTTCCCTAATGACCAAGACGTTAAGTACCATGTGTCAGTGTCAATATTAAACATACCTTTGCGCGGTTGTAAACATCTGCAATCAGATAAGCAATCTGTTGGGCGAACTCTTGACGAGTTGTCGGTCTACCACCACTCAGTGTCTCAAAGCGATAACGAGATGCATCCGAAAAACTGCAGGGCAGGTATCCGGGCCACTACATAAGAAGGTTAACACAAACTATTATAGCGCAGATAAGTGATACTCACCTCTAGTGCGAGAGTAGTATTTCGCCAGCCATGATGAGCGAATACTGTGTCAGTCGGACTGTCAACGACAACTTTCTGCTTCAGAAGATCCTTCACGCGCACGCCAGGCCAGTTACTAGTGCTAAACGTGACGCCAGGGAAGCTTTCCTGAGAGGGAGTGATACCCTGTGGGCGTGGGACACGCTCCGCTCTCCTACCATCCGCGAGGAACCAATGCAGTGGCATCGGGGCATAGAGGGTCGAGGGGTGAGGGGCAGGAAGTGAATACCGAGAGTATTGCTAATATAATGTTTGTGTAAGAATGCAAAGAAACACGGAAAGAACATGGAGGTTACTCACTTGGTGAGACCCGGCTCCGCCAGGGTTCACGATCAATTGGTTAGGCTGCACATAGGCCATACTGGACTAGAAATAATGGGAGGTGAAATAGAATGTCCGCGTTGCAAGATAACTGCGATGTTCGAGCTGATGAGATGCCCATCCTAAGCACCCTGCGTGTTTTATACTACCCATAGCGTCAGAACAGTCCACAGAACTGTGGATAGTCTGTAACGTAAGTGGTCTGGAGCCAGAGCGCTCACTCAAAGTGTCCAGTAAGCTGTGAATCATAAAACGAGACATCGGCCATTCAACGATACGCATCGTGACACAATGAACGCTTGGAAGAAAATAATGGCGGTCACGGTGCCACCAGGGATGATTGTGCCACTAGAAGACATTAGTTTGAGACAATGTGCTTTGAATGCACGTGCAACGCAATACGAGACCTGTTAATGGCCACCGTCTATCAGCGGAAAACTAACCCTCAGTGACAGAAGCCAAAGCTCACCAATTACTACGAGTGGTTCAGTAACCGGGAACGACTAGTCCTTGATGCAAGTGGCAGAAGACCGTAACGGCACACTTTTCAAAGAACAGCCAACTGTCCCGTAAACCTGGAACTCAAAATTTGGAGTCGGGGACTAGAACGAGCCATTTCACGAAACAACTCGAATCACTACTAATGCAACTGCCGCGGGGTACTGTAAACCATGAGAGGCAGACAAAAACATTGACACTTGGACAGCTTGTGGTTACAAGGAGTATTGATTGCAACTAGCATTGAGGCCACACTAGCAGCCCCATAGATGACCGGGTCGATCACCGTAGTGGTAGCGTGAAGCGGTTATGTGTTTTGCTCAAATTTGAAATTACCAAAAAAGGCATGTGTAGAAAGAGTCTGAACGACAAGTACAAGTACTGTCTGTGTACAGCAAGTGTACAAGGCCGCGAGGCTCGAAAGCGTTATGTGGTGAAGGCGTAGTTGGTGCCCGCTCACGTTCCTCTAGTGCCCCACCTGCCAAGGATGCCACACATAAGAGTACTAGCACTACGCCAGGCAAGCGCTTGGTGCATCTTCACCTCAAGCGTGAAACCAAAGCTGTATATACGTGTCCCGCTGTATAATATGTGTAATAATATGTGTATTATTAGCGTTACAAGCGTGGACTCGACTCAAGCAATCCAACAATAGTACTACTTTCGGAGCACACAGAACTCAGGAATCCACACATCAGCGTGTAAACGTATGGACATGAGCACGATATCTTTTAAATGGACTCGTGAAGAGAGGGCCCAAGCGACAGATTCGACCGAAGGCAGTATTTTCTGTCGACTTGGTTAGTTCTGGCGAGAAGTCGATTTTTGGAGGAGGTAAGACCCACTGATGCAAGTAAGTAAAAATTGCGCAATGTTCTGCATATTGCAACTGCGAGGTCCTGCTTGGTATCTGGATAGACCGTGCTGCGTCCAGCGTGGCGAATATCAGGCGAATCATAACCAGGCCACTGCGAACTGAGTATCAGGTTTTTGATCGAATTAAAACCCAAATTCAATGTACCTGCAAGAATATTTTGAAACGACCCGCCATAAAAACAGTCTCTTCACTGTCCTGAATACATCTGCCGTTAAAGACATTCTTGACCGGGACACCAGGACGCCCATTATGATAAAACACAATGGGGGGATTGTGTGAATGACAGGGAACTGGAACACGCTGTGCTTTCTTTCTATCCAGTAGCAAAAGATTTTCAGGCAATTGTTCCTTCGTAGGTGACGGGGGTGAAGATGACTGCCAGGTTACAAATGAATCTGCGTTGTCCTGCTGAAGCAACTCCACTGAGACATACAGATAAAGATTTGCTAGGGGACCAGCCAGAGTGCCCCTTCAGATGTGCCATCTGGATGGGTCGAGCGTGCGTGCAACGCAATTATGCTCGGTAGTCGGAGGACTTGAAAATCCAGCTGTGAAGATGGCTGGATCATACCGCTCTGATAATGCCGCTGTGCTACTTTATAAGAATCGCATGGCCTGGCAGGTATACAAGCAAATGGCAGGTGCAGAGCAGGCCTCCACAATATGGCGTTGTATCTGGTCTGTCTGACCTTCGACGCGGCCATGGTGGAAGGCCTCCTGGTTGTTCCTTGATTTGGCGAAGGCCGAGCACCTGCAAACGAGATTGTGTCCTTTTTCTCCGTGGCTCAAAGAAATGGATTGTTTGCCAGACTTGCCAGGCCAGCATTCCCTGTAAGCTGTAATTCATAACGTTAAATAAGTAAGGTCTCATCGAAATCTGACATGAACATTATTCAGCACAGGATTGTCGGCCTGTAACCTTGGACTGTGAGTCAACAGAGGTTCCGATTCTCCGAACGGACTCGCTGGCAGGGAGGGGTTGCCAAATGGCCAGTGGCAGGTTCGTAGTGTGGTGGCAGGTGGCCCGGCCATATGACTCCATATGATGAATGTTCTGACTTCCAACCATCTCACAGCGTCACATGACCTTGGCCACAGGCATGCCTAAACTTAACTGTACCATAAAGTTTAAACCGCTTGGCCTTACTTACCATCGCACCAACAATATTCGTACTATAGCTAACAACGCACGATCCGCCAGGCTATCAACTTGGGAGTAGAGCTCGTTCATTACAATAAATTGTTGTCATGTCATGGTAGGTAAATACTGTGATCACGTTCGTACAAAAGAGGCGCCTGAGCAGCCTAAGCGTTGCTCTTATCGTCGACACCAATGAAGATGGCTTGTACCTGGTGAAGTATAAATGAAACAGCACGTAAGTGGAGTTCATTTGACTTCCCATTACATAATCTGGGACCGCAGTAAGGACTCCATCCTTCATGATGGTGGCCTTCAAGCAGTTACCGCCAGCTGATATATATTAAGAACTTTCTCGGCGAAACGACTATCCACCCACTGGCTTCAATTTGTGTTGATACTGACGATACCAGCCACCTGATGTTGCTGGATGGATATATCCTTTTGGGCTATAGCCCTAAAACTAGGATACATCATTCAGTTAGATTATCCATTATCTATTATCCAGATGGATGTATCCCATGGTGGATCCCATCTGTTGCATACACAGCCGCATTTTTCGCATTTTTGAAACTCAGCTGTTTGTCATTCCAGGATATATTCATTATTCACAAAATATATCCCATTTTGGTCACCTCCTCATTGTCAGGTCTTCCCACATTATTCCCACACATCACATGTTCGCATTTTTCAGCCACACAGTGTGGGAATTACCCCACAACACCAAAAACATCGCCCATTTTGGGAATCTCCACAATATCAATTGTTCCCACACCCTCCCCATATCACTGCAGCTTCACCACCACACCACAATTGCTCCCCTTTCATATATAAGTAGTAGTTTGGTTTATATATGTATAATATAATATAATAGACCGCTTTTTTTGTCTATTTGTGTACTTGCTCCTCCTCCAGGACCCTTTCAAAATGATGTAGGATACAAAACATTTTCGCACTTTTGCCCCTTTGACAAGGAAGTGTCCTAGGGTATTCAGAACATGATTATGAGTGAATATGAAGATATTCCCAACTTTATTTGACCCTCTGAAGTGTCCTACATCAATAAATCTAACACATATATAGAAAAACACAAAATATGTTCCCATTTAATTACTTGTAGATGGATAGACTTGTAAAAATGATTCCCAGCACCTATTCAGTAATATGAACAATGTATCAGGATCCTAGGACCATAGGACAACCCCCTGTTGCATGGTGTGCCCTCCTTCTCCTGGTGGTTTACCCCCTGTGAATTTTTTTCCTGTAGGACCGAACCTACATTGAGGTAAGGGGTCTATTTCTATATATATTTGGAGTATGTCTGTCATATAGCTAGCCCTGGACACACACAGGATCCATCTACAGGAACAAAAACATAAAATATTGTATGTTTGGCATTTTTGATGTTTTTTAGTATATTACACTTGCACACATGGTCCACCCTGCTCATTTATAATCAGTAGTACATGCATACATGTGTTCTACACTAAATACCAGCTAGATATATGGCAAAAACATGAGATCTGATGTAGAGGGGGTATTTCTACTGATCAGAAGCCTACATGGTAATCAAGCCTGTGATAAGTAATCAGAGACCTGTGATACCCCCAATATATATCCCTTATGATGTCCCTAAAGGCTTAGAAAGATCCATGAAGGATTCATGTAATGACAGGCAAAATGACATATGTGTGAAAAGTGACAATTGATATCTTTTTGCACAAAGTGTCATTTATATATGATAAATGTCAAAGATTTCATTTAAAATATGTAGGATAGATTGTAAACTACCTAAGGAACCTATACTACCTACTGCCCTGAGGGTAAAGGGTGGAGGGAAGGGATGTAGTGTAAACATGAGTTGACCCAGCATTAAAGTCTGACTACTGCTCAACTGACCATTTTCGATGTTTTGGGTTTGTGAAGTTTCCCACACTGAATTTCTTATCTATTTCACTTCCTCAGCACTCAATCATTGTTGGATTGTTCTATACATTTATATATATGATGCTGTATATATTCCAAATGTACTCCAGGTTTCTGATCATTAATATTTGATGTTTTGAAGGCATGGGCCCCTTATCAGTAGAAATAGCAAGCATATACACTAGCTCACAGCTCCAGCCTATTGTGAGCCGATCTTGGTCATAAAAAAGCAAGTATATATGCTTTGCTCATTATATATGAACAGGTTGTATCATAGATGCAATGGTAAGATACTGAAACACATCAAAAATGTCAAAAATGCGATTTTCTATGTTTTTGTTCCTGTAGCAGGATCCTATGTGTGTCCTGGGCCAGCTATATGATAGACCTACCTCAAATATACATAGAAATAGACCCCCCACTTCAATTGAGGTCCGGTCCTTCAGGAAAAAAATTCACAGGGGGTAAACCACTAGGAGAAGGGGGGCACACCATGCAACAGGGGATTATCCTATGGTCCTAGGCTCCTGATACATTGTTCATATTACTGAATAGGTGCTGGGAATCATTTTTCCAAGTCCATCCATCTACAAATAATTAAATGGGAACATATTTTGTGTTTTTCTATATATGTGTTAGATTTATTGATGTAGGACACTTCAGAGGGTCAAATAAAGTTGGGAATATCTTCATATATACTCATAATCATGTTCTGAATACCCTAGGACACTTCCTTGTCAAAGGGGCAAAAGTGCGAAAATGTTTTGTATCCTACATCATTTTGAAAGGGTCCTGGAGGAGGAGCAGGTACACAAATAGACAAAAAAAGCGGTCTATTATATTATATTATACATATATAAACCAAACTACTACTTATATATGAAAGGGGAGCAATTGTGGTGTGGTGGTGAAGCTGCAGTGATATGGGGAGGGTGTGGGAACAATTGATATTGTGGAGATTCCCAAAATGGGCGATGTTTTTGGTGTTGTGGGGGCGAACATGTGATGTGTGGGAATAATGTGGGAAGACCTGACATGAGGAGGTGACCAAAATGGGATATGTTTTGTGAATAATGAATATATCCTGGAATGACAAACAGCTGAGTTTCAAAAATGCGAAAAATGCGGCTGTGTATGTAACAGATGGGATTTTCATGGGATACATCCAATGGATAATGGATAATCTTACTGGATGATGTATCCTAGTTTTAGGCTTATAGTCCAGTTTGGATGTATCAATATAGCATTATGGACTCTACCAGCTATTTACCACCAACACGTTAGTACAAGTATCGCACGATTCCCCTTCTACAGACGTTGCTAAGCTGGTAAGCAACACCAGGGAATGTTGCTCTGAATCCTGGTGATGACATCTCCGCCAGTTGGATCGGGATCTACAATGACGTTTAGAGGATACATAAACCGTATTACTCGCGGCGACATATTAAGAGAACACTTACGACGCCCTGAACAACAACTTGAATACAGAACGCTCCAGCGGAGAGGCCAGAGAACGAGGAGGGTAAAACCCATAATGGAATGAACGCTGAGAGAACATAAATCTTGGCCTATATTACCGAGATTGGTGCTTACCTCCGACGAGAAGCACAAAATTCTGATGAAAAGGTGAGCAAATATTATGGAATGCACATACATGATCGTCAAGCGGCGTCCAATGTACTGACTCGCCAATCCAGCAATAACACCGCCGCTGCGCAACCCTCAGGACTTTGACTGTTTGCAGAATCAACCAACTCACGCAATAGCACCCTGTTAGAGAATATTGGGAGTTGCCACACAGGTAATTCTGTAAAACGTACACAGTTGCCAATAATGGTCGCGATAGTCGCATCGTGAGCTGAAACCCTTGGTGGTCTCGAGATATGTGGGATACAGATCCTAAGCGGACATTACATTATGGGATGCACGTTCATATGCGGGATGCACGTACCTGTGAACCATGAGTCATGAAATTGAATCCTGCAGAGGAATGTCGATATGTTGATCGTTGGGGGCTCGGAGCAAGCCAAACACTCACCTGTCGTTAAGAGCATTGAGTAAATGTATAAGAGCCAGTGACGCTTAAGCATCCCCTTTGTTTCCCTAAGGAAAAGCTTAGTTTTCTGCGAGGTATTGGTCCCTCTCGCCTTTTCTTGTTCCTTGGCACGCAAGAAGAACGCACTCTCGGGGACAAGAGCACGGATAACCGCGGTGTTGGAATCCGACGAGACGAAGGAAACGGAAGACGGACCGTAGAAGATGAGAGTGAAACAGTACGAGCGCAACCAGTGAGTACGACGAGGCGACGCGTTGACGTCGGCCGAGGCTCGTCGATATTGGAATGTCTATCTCTAAGTAACGGACAATTTACTTATCATTTACTTATCTATCCTATCCGTACTATAAAGGACCGAACGAGTCGTTAGAACATCTCAGGTCTTTTCATAGAGCCTGAGATGTAAGTCTCATATATTTTTCGCGTTATTCTAAAGAGCTAACATACCATTAGATATTTATTCTACTAGGTACTTTACCCGCTCTTACTAGAGGTCTTTTCATAGAGCCTGAGATATATTTATTCTACTAGCTCCCGCTTCGTGCGCCGCTCGCCTGAACTCACTTTACGCGGCACTGCTCCAGTCCAGAAAATCATCCGTCATGCATGCCCTGCTACCGAGGTCAAGTTGATAACTGCTGCAATGAGGTACCCAACAGCATTGTCTTCCTGCCAAAACCCACTTCCAATTCCACGAAGCTCGGCGGGCAAGTTCTCAAGAGCTGAAGATGACGAAAGTCCCCATGTTCCACCTATCGGGACACCAAATAGGGCACGGAGGGCGAGGAATTGCGGAAACGTGCGGACAAAGCCAGTTCCGAGCTCAAGAACACAACAGAGAAGGAGTCTAAAAACTCGTGGCCACTTGCGGCCAAACCTGTCAGATAAGATACCAAATATGATGGTAAGCCTCGTTGATATGCAGCAAGTTGAAACAGACAATGCTTATTTCGATGCCCTGAATCATGCAGAAACTCCCAATTATACACCCTCTAGTCGTCCACGAGATGATGCTTCTTCGTTCTATGCTGATCGACAAACGCGGAACAAGAGCGTCAACGTCAAGGCGGTCGTCTGTGCTCATGTGGTACCACATCGGCACGTAGGCATTGCAATGAGAGAAGGGGGAAATCGTACGATAGTACTGGTCAACTTGCCAAATTGTGTTGACAAGAGCGCGATACCGTGAGCGATACTGTGAAGAAGTCCATGGCATCGCACATCCAGGCAAGCTAGCTATCGTGACACGTGGTTAGGATGATAGCGTGAGACTAGCGATGGAGGGGAACACTGACCCAGACCAGAACTGAGCCCACTGCACCCAGGTGAGATTTTTGAGCGTAGCAAGTATGGTGCCAGGAGGGGCACGCCTCTCTCGACGCAGGATGAGGTTACGCAAAAATCTTGGTGCTATAGTGGGGGCGAGATAACAGAACAGGGAGGTTGAGGGTAGCTACGGCGCTCTATAGAGCATGTTTCATCTATATGTACCAGTATTGATATTCGAGAGAATGTGATCAACGCCATTCTGCAAGACTGTCGTCCCTTAACCGTTACGCCAAAAGGCAGTGATAATAAAAGCTCAAGCGCTCACGCTTCATTATCGCGGACAGTACTAGTATTTATTGGAACTCAGGTAAGTCAACGGACTTACACATTCTAACCCAAAGTAACATATCATAATGGAAAAGTGAGGGTGACGTCACGGTGCTAAAATAGGGACGCACATAGTGTGGGACAGCCTATGACCCTAGCCTAGCCTCCCCTAACCAGACCAATTGAAGGCAACAATCCGTGACCCGTCTCAGAGAACGGGTACAGACACTCGTACAGACACTCATTGCTTCCGAGTATTAAATACGCTACGACCCCCGTAAATGGTATTCATTCATTCATTCACAATTGAGGTATAACACGCGACCTACCAACAACGCTAATGGCCGCGCTACTATCAACTCGGAGGAAAAAATCGTTCATTAAAAATGACACATTGTTGTCATGCTGTGGTAGGTAGGTAATGCGATCATATTCGTACTACTACATAAGAGGCGCTCAGTGAGCGACCTAAGCGCTGCTCTTCTCGTCGACCTCATGAAACGACGTTCGTGATGGGTCATCTGGGACAGCGTCATCGCTTCCGCCTCCTTCTTCAAAAGCAGTCTTGTGGTTCTCGAAATGTGAACCGTGGTTTCTAGTGGAAAATGAGCATTGGTATTTCAAAAAAATATGAGCGGGATTTACTCTGGCCCAATGATCGTGATGACGACCACGAATGCAGCAACGACACCAATGAAGATGGCTTGTACCTGGTGAAGTATAAATGAAACCGTACGTAAGTGGAACTCATTTGACTTACCGTTGCATAATCTGGGACTACAGTAAGGACTCCATTCTGCATGATGGTGGTCTTCAAGTTGTTACCGCCAGCTGATATACATTGAGAACTTCCTTGGCAAAAGGGAGTGTGACTGTCCACTCACTGGCTTCAATCTGTGCTGATGCTGACGATACCATCTATTCACCACGAACACGTCAATACAAGTATCGGATCATGTGCATTCAAACCTACGTTGCCAAGCTGGTAAGCAACACCAGGGAATGTTGCTCTGAATGCCGGTGGGGACATCTCCGCCAGTTGGATCGGGATCTACGATGATATATAAATAAGCCGTGTTCGCAACAAGATCAAAATAACACTTACGACACCCCAAGCGCCCTGAACACCGACCTGAATCCAGAATGCTCCAGCAGAGAGGCCAGAGAATGAGGAGGGTAAAACCCATAATGGAATGAACGCTGCGAGGGAACATAAGTCTTGGCCTATATTACCGGGATTGGTGCTTACCTCCGACGAGAAGCACAAAAATGCTGATGAAAAGGTGAGTAAAGCCACGCAAATATTATTATGGAATTCACATACACAATCGTCAGGCGGCGTCCAATGTACTGACTCACCCATCCAGCAATAACACCGCCGCTGTACAACCCTCAGGACTTTGACTGCTTGTAGAACCAACAAACAACTCACGCAATAGCACCCTGTTAGAGCATGTTGAGAATAGTCAGACAGATAATTTTGTAAAACGTACGCAGTTGCCAATAATGGTCGCGATAGTCGCATCGTGGGTACTGAAACCCTTGGTGGTCTCGAGATACGTGGGATACAGATCCTGAGCGGACAATACATTATAGAACGCATGTTCATGCGCGGGATGCACGTACTTGTGAACCGTGAGACATGAAATTGAATCCTGCAGAGGATTATTCGACATGTTGATTGTTAGGGAGCAAGAGAAAGGCTAACCTGTCATTAAGAGCACTGCGTAAATGCATAAGAGCCAGTGACGCTTCAACATCTCCTTCGTTTCCCTGAAGAAAATCTTGGTTTTCTGCGAGGTATTGGTCCCTTTCGCCTTCTCTAGTTCCTTGGCACGCAGGAAGAACGCGCTCTCAGGAACAAGAACACGGATACAGGCGGCAAAGAAAGTGATGCCTGATCCGGTCCAGAAAAGCACCCGCCAGGTGTGTTCGGCTACCAAGGTCAGGTTGATGACGGCTGCAATGAGGTACCCAACGGCATATCCTTCTTGCAACACTCCACTTGCAATCCCACGAAGCTCAACGGGCAAGTTCTCAAGGGCTGAGGCTGACGAAAGTCCCCATATTCCACCCATAGCAATTCCGAATAGGGAACGAACGGCGAGGAATTGTGTGTACGTGTTGACAAAGGCAGTTCCGAGCTCAAGAACACAGCAGAGAAGGAGATTGATAATCAATGGCCACTTGCGGCCAAACCGGTCAGATAAGATGCCAAATAAGATCTGGGGAATGGTAAGCTTATAGTTAGCAGGACACAGCATGAACGATGCTTACAGCGCCGACCGATCGGAATAAGAGCGTTAACGTGATGGCGGTCGTCTGTGGTCACGTAGCGTCACATCAGCGGCAGGAAGCGAGGAAAGGAAACTGAACATACGATCGCACTGGTTGACCTTCCAAATTGTGCTGATAAGAGTTTCACCGTGAGGGATACTGCGAAGAAATCAATGGCGTCGCATGTCCAGGCGAGCCAGCTATTGTGACAAAATGTGGTTAAGATGATAGCGTGAGGCTAACGATGGATGCAGAACACTGACCCAGACCAGAATTGAGCCCACTGCACCCAGGTGAGATTTTTGAGCGCAGCAAGTACGGCGCCAGGAGGGGCACGCTTCTCTCGACGCGGGATGAGATTGCGCAAAAATCTTGGTGCCATGATGAGGGTGGGATGGGGATTGATCAAGTAGGAGGGTGAGCGTCCAGAGTATGTTTATATTGAGATCAGAAGACAATCAGGAACATTTTAAACCTCAGGCACCCAACGTAACATATCATCATATGGGCGCGACGCGCTAAATGGGTGAGGCTAATATTATAGTTCAACAGCGCTTTAGCCCGCACGTTTCACAATCCTTTCCCCACACACATATCACATCAATGATATGCCATTGCAACCTCTGAGCCAAGCGGGGCCCCTGCTTCATTGTTCATCGTGACGCTGCGGAGCCCCAATTTCTGAGATTTCGGCTAAGCCTGTCAAGGCCTGTCAGCGCCTCTAGCTGATCTAGTGATAAATCGGCGTGCTCTGGCGTGAAGAGGCAGGCGTACAACTCCAAGGGGCTCAAACACCGCCTGCTCGGATAATCGACACGTCGTGAAAAATACAAGGTGAATGGAAAAGGCGGGGATATCGATAACTCATATCCTCTTTGTACTTCCGAGTCCGGAACATCACGGTTGAACGTTGAATATCATTGCAGAACTTCGTATCGGACATATCGGAGGCCACGCTAGCCACGTTTCGGAATCGTTCGGGCAGTTTGCAATTTCAAATTTAGTTATGATCCTAAAGGATGTCCGGTGAAAGAACCGGCAGTAAGTGATCGTCGTTGCAAGATGTCATGCCAGCTTTCATCCAACAACGAATGATGCCAGTAAGCTAGCCCGGATCTGCGTATACTCAATACTGCGATCAAAGAAGATACGTGCGTATACTGCAATGGTCACATCATGGTTTAGATCTGCAAAAGGTCGTCTCTGATACTATGGTGTGTACGATTATCTCCATTTCAAATTGTTCAAACTGTGCAACCTACCGGGCCTGTCATAGCAACATGCCATACTTAGGTTAGTTCATCGCTTCACCTTCTTGCCCCTTCTCGTCGTTTTTTTCTCCTTCTCATCTCCACCTTCTGCTTTCCGCTTTCGGCCAGCAGCAGGTTCAGTCGTCTTCACGCTGATGACTGTAGCTCCTTCCCCCTTCGCAAGCCTTACTACTTGTGCCTCAGCGACACTCCAGTCCGCGCTAGCATCGTTAATAGCATACCTGTAAAGCACGACCATAAGTCACGTTATAGTTGCCCTAGGTCTGGTCGATCCATGTCCGTGGCAAACGGAGGATGCAATCACACTCACTTGCTCAGATCCAGAGAGTCAATCATCTCGCGTTGCTTTTCGCGAAGCGCTTTTGTTGCTTCGTCGCCGGCTTCGTTTAACTCATCCTCGACATTTGATTCAACGGGTTTCCACTGCGCAGATTCGCCACCATCCCCGACACGTGAACTCGCGGTGGGAGGAGCCAACGGAATATCTGCGCCAATTGAAGCCTTCTGGATGTCGACAAGATGCTTCGTGATTTTGCGGACAACCTTGACGAACAAGGCTAGTGCCTGTGAAACAGGCAGCGAGAGCTCGCCCTGAAGAATCACGCCCTTGAGCATCTCAAAACGTGTATGATAAAATAGTATACCTCGACCTCCTCGATGGTCTTTCGCTGAAGACCGAGACCAAGGAGAATGGAGGCCTGAACCGCACTCAGCTTCACGTCGTCGCCTAACCGTCCTTCGAAATACAGAGAAGCCGCCGTTGGGAGCAGATCAAGGATAACGTGATAGTCAAGCATGTTATTGGCATATGACTCCAGACGCTTCAGGTCAAATGGTGACATCAGGATTGAGAGCTCTTGCGATCCCAGAGCTAGAGGTAGGGTTCGTCAGCAAGCCCTAGAAAGCTCCTGGAAATAATGTTACCCCGCGACTTTTCTCCGTCGAGTTTCTTCACGCCGACATTCGCTGCCTCGAGCACACTCAGTGCAGTGACGCTGCCAAACTCACGGAACTTGAAAGAGAGCAGAGATAGGAACCGCCGCCTGAAATCTGCGCAGCGTATTGAGTCTATTTCTGCTTGGATTATCAGACACCCTCACCTTTCGCAAACTCGCCCATCCACTCGAGTTCGCCATCCGTCGAACTGTTGAGTCCCCGAACCATAACGCATGTGTGCTCTCCCGTGAGTTCACTTTGTGTTTGGCGGACGTACAAGGGCACATATCCAGCCCTCTTCCAGAATCTAGAGTCGAAGATTAATAGGAGTTTTTAAATTGATGGAGAGACATCACCGAAGGAGTGGTGGCGTTAGGCCATACGAGACCCCAAGGTAATCCAAGGTTTCAGGTTTCCTTTCTGATAACCTCTGGAGCAGTGGGGGCATCGCTTCAGGCGCGCGTATTGTGGGGTGATCCGTTTTTAGATCCGTTTCCTTCACAAGATACGTGTCAGCATCGCATAAATTGTTCTTAAAATGTAACACTCACGGGATCTAGGGCCGCTATATCTGGATACGAGGGTTCGGCGCGGGTAGCTTCATCCAGGTTAAAATATTCTCCGCTGTAGAAGGAATTGAGAGCTTTCAGAGCCCGAGATCCGTACCCCATCTGGTTGGCCAATAAAATTAGAGGCCTCAAAGTAGATTGTGGGGAACTTACATTTGCGTAATCAGGATGGGTCGCGATCCGTACAATCCGGGCCCCAGAAAGGAGTGCAAATTTGCTTTCTTGGAACTGTTGGGAGACAAGCCAAGGAATCATGTCACCTCCCGCACGCAATCCACGGCTCAGGCCATCCATGATGGCGGCTTTGCTAATATTCCCCTCCAGTGCGACTTGCAGTACCACAAGTGGCTCCGGAAGATGAGTCTCGTCATCTGCTATGGGGGGTAGAAGCACGAAAAGGTGATGCGCTGGCGCGTCAGACATCAACTGAAGGTCATTTGGTTGATTCTTGTAGTGACTGGCGACATACAACGCCATCATGCGCTGCAAGAAAACCTCGGATGCTGGGTGGTAACTAAAGAGTGTATCCCGGCTGACATAGTACAGCTCGCATGAAGAAGGGTGCGGGCAGCCTTGTTGGACGGCTTTAGGCACCACTGTCGCATCAAGGCAAAGAAGACCGTTGAGCCATTTTTCGATGTGATCGCCGGCAGAGTATCGGATAGGCGTTTCAAGCTTGACTTCACGAAGGCTTCTAGCTTTAGGGGCACCGGACTGCGTGGGCTTTTTGGAGGTCGAGGCAGTAGCGCCATCTTCGACAGACGCAGCAGCATCTTTCGTGAGTGAAGGTCGGGTATTCTCGCGGAGTTGTTGTATGAGTTTGAGAGAAAGAGAGCGACCTGTGCCCTCGTATCCGTTGATCGTGGAAGCCATGAAAACAAGGTATGGACCCAAGAGATTGCGGACAAGCGGGAGGGGGATGGCAGCTGCCTCATCAATGACGACTAGCTCGGCTTGACCAAGAACGTGTGCATCCTCAGGTTGGATATACTGAGAGTTTGTTAGAATGCGCACGAAAGTGCCGAGACAGAGGTTCCCACCTGAATGGTCTGACGATGCTGACGGAAAATATTTACACGGACGATGGCCTTATTAAATTCCGGATTCGTGCTCTGTGCAATATCGTAGTCCAAGTGCTCCTCGTAACCGAGAGCATCCATACCCTTGAAGATGAATTCAAAAAGTGTCTTCAAGTTTTCGGGACTGGGACTCGTGATGAAAATATTTGAGTATCCATGAGCGAGAGCAGCAGCGATTGCCAAGCCTAGCGCTGCAGATTTACCGCGACCTCGAGCAGCGGTGAGCGTGACGGTGGATGAAAGAGTCTTCTCGGCAATTGCATCAACGAAGGTTAATACTGCTTGAGCCTGGTCTAGGGTTTTGGCGAGTTTTACGAGCTCGCCAACAGGTTTTGTGTCTGCCAGACTATCCTTGAGGTCCTTGAGCTCGGAATCCGCCTTACCCTTCCCGCGCTCCTCTTCAATCGGGGTGATATCCTTCGCTTTAGATATGGGCAAGACATTGAGTTCATCATCCAATACCAAGCAGTCCGAGCAAGACCCTAGGGAGAGAATAAATCGTTCGTTAAATCGCGCAACCACCGAATCGTGAGATGAAGTTCTGTATCTGGCATGCACATCCTGCCAAGCAAATCAGATAGCAACCATCTGGATAAAGGTATCCGTACCATGGTAAGAGTGTACAGCTGCCTCAGGGATGTCATCGTTTTTAGGAGAAGCACCACTAGTCCTCCACCTTCCACCGTCTCGATAGTGCGTGCCAGGAGATTGGGCGTGATTGCCTCAAAATCTTGCAGGACGCACATTCCATACGTGTTTCCCAATATACGATGTGATTCTTTATAATAGCTACAGAGATATAAATTTTCCTGCCAGAGATTATGGATGTGCACGTACGTATAACGGATATCTGTGACGGTCACGAATATTTCGAATGGATTTTGCTCGTTTGGCTCCCGGACACCCCGCTTCACGTCCCGTTTGATTTTTGCCTCTCGCTTTTTCCGGGCTCTACACATGATCGTCTTGGGCCTTTTCGCAAAGCAATATCATGTCACTCACGCGGTAAAACCAAGATCTTTCTTATAGCACCATAGTACTGAAGGGCGTGCAGACACGCGTGCTTGTGAAAGCAAGAAGTGAAGATTCACGATCTAGAACAGACATAATCAAGGATGGTCCACAGGCTGGAGAAGAGGTAGTACATACCTGGTCCCTTCCTTTATCACCGACCAAAACTATAAAGGACCGGTGGTTTTTCTTGACATTATTGTTAATCAGTACGGGTATTCGGGGATCAAGCTGTTTGCGCATGGAAGCTGCTGACACTGGCCAAAGGAGGGCTACCGTTCAAGGTATGATTCAAGTCTAACAAAATTACTTTTGCGTTCGTAGAAGGAAGGTATTTCGCACGCTCATAACCTTATGTTTTGCGCTTTGCCATGTTGACGTACTTGTTATAGTCCCGGTATTAATAGTAAGTACTCTTGAAGTTTGCTCGAACTCAAGGTCGTGTACGCTCATCGACGTCAATTGCAATGCATACAAATATGCTCACAAGAATTTTTGTCTCTTCCCTAGTAGCAGCTACAATTTTTTTAGTAATATCCATGGGGGTATGATCTAGTAAGTACCGTCACACTATTCCGGAAAATTCGATATAGTCTAGGAGTCCCCTGTGCCTTGCACCACACATCTAACCTGATGCTGCAAATGCCCCAGTGTGAGGACGACGTACCTCGACTGGTCCGTCATTCCCGCCGACCGTTTTGGATGCACATTTACTAGGTTCATATCATTGCCCGCATTGGCATTCCAGCAATGACTTGGTCAATTGGTTGTGAAAGAGTGGACCAGATATCTATGCATATAATAGCGTCTCGCATGTTGGGTATCGTGGTCATTAAAGTTCAGCTTTGCGGCTTACCTTACACAATGACAGGCATTGGACACTCCCAAATGTGCATCCACACCTCCCGAATGTACGTCCACACCTCCCAAATGTGCGTCCACAACTTCATTAGTCCACAGGCCACCGCTATTGTTAGTTGTTCTGCCACAGTAATTCAGGCAGGATTCGATGGCTATAAATCCCTTGCATGTAGCAGCGGTTGAAAATCATTAACCACTCAGTATGAACACTCTCTATTACACCCGCCCTTTTGCACCAGTACACATCGGTATCAGACTATGCTTTTGCGGCAAGCCGACAGTGGAAGATCACGACTTTTGCTTTTGCTCCCCCCAATGTGCTCGCGCTGATGCCATGCGTGCCCTAGGTGAAGATGACTGCCATTATCGCCAAGTCATGCGGGGGGCATATGCCAACTCGGGTGCCCCAGAGCCTGCGATCTATAGGCACAAGTCAGAGAATCAGCTGCGCAATGCGTCGATCGCGAGGCGCGTTCCAGGCATGTCACAGGGTCTTCGGCACCCCCCCAAGCCAACACACGAGAAGACCCTCCCTACACTGGAAGAAGCCACAAGTTCTAGAGACAGGAGAGTTCATGACACTCGGCGACCCTTCGAGTCTCGGAACGAAGGCGTTGGCCTAATTGCTGCGGAACCATCTGCTCCGCCTCAGCGAACCCTCAAGCGCTCCTTGCCCTCTAGAGCCGGGCTTAGCAACGGCGTCCGTGGCTCAGTCCTTGCGATGTTCCGCAACAAGAATCAACAAACTGCTCCACTCAACGTAAAGAAGAAGGCGCCCGTTATCAACCGAGAATCCTCGGTCACTGCAGCCGTATTGCGGGACATGGAAGAGGAAAACGAGGAAGAAGCTGCTTTGTGGAAACTGCTGAATAGCACGGAAGACAGGTCTCCTACTGCTTACCCACAAGCCAGACCAATTACTGCAACCCGGCGATCAGGTGGCATTCGTCGCTCGGCTTCGTTTGCAGGTTGGAACGACCAAATAGAAAATCGGAAGCCCTTCGAAAAGGATAGGGGATCTGTAATGCAGTCAGTTTTCCAACTTCGCAAGATGTGGCAAGAGACGCCAGATCCAATGCCGAATTTTGATGAGGAGTCGGACGAGGAGTACTAGTAATCATTCTGGAGCTCGATATGACCTTTTATGCCACACCCTATGTTACGACTATCACGACTCAAACAATGCTTTATGGATATGTACCTCCTTAGCTCTGCGATATGATCCTGCTGGTGTATTATCATGTAATGTCATCCTTGAGCTGGCTTTACGGTGTTGTGTCGTGATCCGAAACAGGAAGGCGTTCAAGAACAAACACCTCGGATCGACTTACGTCTTATCGTGTAGTAACATTCCTCCAAATCGCCTCGGATCATTAAAGCGAGCACGACAGCAGTTATAATCCGGGTCCTACACTTATCGCTTCACCATCGACTCTTTCTGTTGCGCGCACGACCATGTCCTCTGACGCTCTCTTGACTCAGATCTTAGCCCAGCTCAACGCACTTCAGGTCTCACAGCAGACCCTGCAGGCTAAGGTAAAATGACTGCACTAAGCTATAAATGCGGAGACTGATACAACCCCCGAACAGTTGGATGCGTTTACCACTCTTGGAAGTCCACCGAGTCATGGGACTCCTATCACAGCGCACCATGATTCACCAACTTCTTCCACCTTGCTGTTATCACCATCCACTCCCTTGAGCAAGGTCCATCTGGCTTCAGCTTCTCCGACGAGCACTCCTTCAGACTACGGTCTGATCGATAAAGAACGGGAGAAAGCTCTGTACCCAGGGAGAGTGCTTTTGACTAGTAAGTTTCAATCTTGCTCGATGGGTTGTCAGGCGGTGCATTGCATGATGTGGCCGCTTCTGTGGTCTCTTCCTCACTTGCGCAATGATCGGCTCATCGTTGGTCATCTTTGACCTTCGGTAGACACGCTCCTCTTATCGACTTTTACTAATTTCGGCTTTTACAGCCCATCCTGACCAGCATGGCATTAAACCTTTCCCTTTGCAATGGGGTGCACCTGATCCCTCCATTCGGGGACCTGTAATTTGTTCGCGTTTGCCTACGTCGGTCAAGCAACGCAATGCGCTCGGCGCCCATTCCGGATCGTACTCAATTTATCGCGCCCTTGCTATCGGCATGGGGACTCTCAACCCCTCGCACAAACCCGATTACTCAATGACCGAGCCGCCCGTGCCCATTCCTCCACAGCCTGCATGGTCAGATCCACACAAGATTGTTTCGTTTGATCCTTGGGGGCACCTTGTGCCTCAGATATTTAAGAAGGAGGTCGACGAACTTGGACTCGATGTTCGTCCTAGTATAGCAGTCACGAAGGCGCACATCAAACTCAGTGAAATCGACGAGACTGCGAGGAAAGGCGAGCTTGCAGTGGACGGCAAAATTGTGTTAGCCACGCGTCCTCTGCGGAATGTTGATGGAACGGAGAGTGACGCTTATTCTGGTGTCGAAATCACCACCAGTAAAGCTGCCGTTGAGCCAGTATGGTATCTACCTGGCGTCGCTGAACGTTTTGGGATGTAGGTGGCCTTTGCCGTCTCGATCCACCGGTTTCTAATCCGCTGTCAGATCCGAGAGCCTCCTTCGCCGTGCTCTTTTCGAAGACACTGGAGGAATGTACCCTGAATTGATTACCCGCCCAGACATCAAGGTCTTCCTCCCTCCCATCGGCAATCTGACAGTCTATATCTGTTCGTATTGTTTCTCGTCTGCAAACTCTCTGCTGACCGCATTCCAAGTCGGAAACCCTGCCTTCCTGGCCGACGAGTCCAAGGAACTGACCTTGCGTGTTCATGATGAGTGTATGTTCTCCATCTATTCTTGTAATCGTATCTGAATATCTATGACTCTCAGGCAATGGTTCTGATGTCTTCGGATCCGATATCTGCACCTGCAAGCCTTATCTCGTCTTCGCGATCGAAGAGTGTATCCGTTGCGCTCAGAGAGGCGGAGTCGGCCTCGTAGTGTACTTCCGCAAAGAGGGCAGAGCACTCGGTGAAGTGACAAAGTAAATACTATTTCTTTTCCATACGCCTAGGCTCACACTTCCTCAGGTACTTGGTCTATAATCTCCGGAAACGCGGTGGCGACTCTGCCGACAAGTACTTCAAGTCCACGGAGCTTATCGCCGGCGTGAAGGACATGCGGTTCCAGGCACTCATGCCTGATGTGCTGCACTGGCTCGGTATCAAGAAGATCGATAACATGGTGTCCATGAGCGATATGTGCGCCAATCATAAGTGTTACTCCTTGATCATATCTGACATGCGTATCTCAGGAAATACAATGCGATCGTCCAATCAGGAATTCCGATTTTGAAGCGGTATGATCTACCAGGTGTGTGGCGTTGTGAATGTTGGCGAGGTAGGAAATCAATGATGGCCCTCTCTCTTCTAGAGCATCTCATCCCACCGGATTCGCGTGTCGAAATCGATGCCAAAATTGCAGCAGGATACTTCACTAGTGGGAAGCCAATCACCGAGCAAGACTTAGTCAAGACGGTCGGTAGGACTTGGGAGGAAACAGAACATTAGATCTAGATAACCGGAGGGCCCATGTATTTTCATCAAACTTCTTTGTACTTTACGTTTCGTTGTACCATAAAAGATGTAAAGTCTCGAATTCATGCATCTTTGATTCCGTCGGTAGCTCGAACGTCCCAGAGCTGTATCGCCTTCTCTGCTGCTGCGAATCTGGCCTCCTCTTGGCTAGCCCGCCCTCGTTTCTCTGCGGTGGCCTGCACAGGATCTCTCCCTTCCATAGTGATAGTGCAAGTGACATGGCCCCTCTCTTCCTCAAATACGGAAGTTAACTCCTTATGTTCGCGTGCAGCCCATATGTTCAGCCTGGTGAGCGGGTGCACAACATCGACCTCGTCCTTCAGGATGCGCTCCAGCTGTTGCATTATACCCAGACTGCGAAGAACTTGGCGAACGGCATCCAAATCTCCACGAGAGTCGAGATAAACGGCGCCGATAATACTCTCGATCATGTCGCTGAAGAATTTGGGTGCTTGGAGGCGGGTGAGGGCCGCCCACGGGAACGTGGTGCCGTGGAGGAGGGCTTCATCTATCTCATCTTTCACTTTCCGGTAGCGAGCGAGCGTCCCCCTTTGCTGGTCAAAAACTACTGGGCTGGAATGGAGGAGACATTGGTATAGAAATATCCGTTGCGTTTCTTCATCCATAACAATACCACGGCGGGTGGGGCGAGGTAAGCTCGCGTCTTTCTCCAGCGAGCACTGGAAACAAATATATGCGAGGAAATGCATATTAACCACAGCCGATTTGCGGATATGCATCTGGCCAGGGCTAAATTCCTTTCCTGGGTAATGATAGAGATGGTGCGTGATGACCATATCAAGCACGGAATCGCCCAAAAACTCCATACGCTCATATGATACCGTTCGAAGATCAAACTGATAGCTTGCGTGAGTGATGGCTTCCACGAGGAGGAGCTTGTGGGTAAATGTGTATCCTAACATGAGTTCGACGTCCGTCATTTGAGTGGGGGACTCAGCGGTTTCCACAAGCGAAAGCGCCCTGTTGATGTAAACCTCGAGGGATTGCCATCCTGACCTGGCGTCGATACCGAGGCCAAAGATCCGGGTACACTCAATACCAAGATTAAACCCTCCATGAAGGTAAGCGGCTCCAATGAGGGCTTCTACCACGTCAGCAAGCATCTTTGTGGACAAGTCCTCAGCTGCTTTGCGCGTTTTTCGAGACGAGTCAGCAGTGACTCCGTCCTCAGGAATCTCCGCAGTCACTTGTTCCTTAGTCAAGTACTGCGGTACGAACTTCCGAGGGGTAAAACGATCGCGTACGATCCACTTGTACAGGGATAGTCTAATGGCTTCCTTTGCCAATCGGGAGTTGGAGACCGCATGGTCTTTACGTTTGGTGAGGTACCCCTCGTGCCACAAGGGATAGGTGGCAAGTAGATGCAGCGACACTACAAACTTCAGGACGGCATCTCCGAGAGTCTCCAGTCTTTGATAGTTAACGTGAGCTTGGGCTACAGGGGCAGTGATCGCCGTGATCAGGAGAGGGAAAGGAAGATTATAAGGTGGGGTCCTGGTGAATAGAGTCTCTCGAAGAGATACAGCGGTTGCAGCGACGGAAATATGGCGAATGATGGAGGGTATCAAAGAGGCATAGTCACATTGCGCTCGAGAAAGAAGAACAATGCGAGAGGACTGAGGCAGGAGGAACGAGTTCCTCAGCGATGATTCACTAGTGGACGTTAGAGGCAGCAAAAAATTTGCTCTTCGTGGCAACTCCTCCACATGAAGCAACGGGTAGGTGACCTCCAAGTCAGCCATTTTTGAATTTCTGGCCGAAAAAACTTGCAACTCTTCCTCGGATAGGGGGTCATGCCTCCACCCAAGGAAGCGATAAACCTTGCCGTAGGGAAACGCATCACGAACCCAGGTGATGTCAGTAGGGTACGAAAACGCCTCTCCGAAAGTGGCTGCGTTTGCAAAGAGATCGTCTCCCTGGGACTCTTCCCCTTGCAAGTCCCGCAGCCACCTTCGACGCGCATCCCAGACGTCTCGCTCAAGGTCTTCCTCGGCAGATTCGAAAAGATACGCAAAGTCGAGTTTGTCCCACTGCATGCGAGTTCCGTACAAACACCAGAACAGACGTCGCGTTGATTCCCGAGTAGCTTGAAGGTCACTAAGGGTATAGCGGGCCATACCCTGTGCCTGCAATTCAACATTGATACGACCTTTATGAGGATGATAGAGCACGGGTGCCTCCCCAGCAGCGAAAGACGGAAGGTCGACTTGAGTAAGCATGCGGACAGGAGCGAAACCTTGTATGACAATGTGAATAGCTCTCCAAGGCGCGTCTCCCTCTTCATCTTGCCAAGGATTCATCTGGCTAGTGACGGAGGTCATGCCGGATCGTTTCTCGACATCTTTGAGAAGATTCTGGACTTCCTCCTCTAGATCAGGCTCGACCACGCTAGTCAACGGCAAGAGATTATCATTGAGGAGATTAGCGTCATAGAGAGCGAGGTAAGCCTTGAATGCGACATGTCGGTATGCGGATTGCTTTGAGGGGTATATACGGTCAACTGTGAAGACCCGCAGTTCCGCTGGTAGCAGTCTTGGCAAAGTCACCGTGCACCCGAATGGTCCCGGATATGGAGGGGGATCGTCGCGTTGCAGAGCGTCGAAAGAGTGCCAGCCTACGGGCATGTCAAGGGGATCGATGTCATAAATGGGAAGATGTGCAGTATGTCCTGAATTCGGAAGAACAGCGCAGAAATGATTCAGATGGGTAACTGCTTGTAGCGAGGTGAGAGTAGCCCTGTTTATGGATGAGCACGATGGCTTCGAATACGGGCATATTGCTCACCCTGTAGACTTCACCTTGAAAACAGGCTCTTCTCCATCGCGTTCTTCGTCATCAATGGAGGCCGTTGGCCTCGAAGCACGGTCGGCCTGGTAAAGGGCTGTCATTTGGCGTTCCAAATTCTCGAACTCCAACACCCTAGCGTCGTCAACACCTGCCGATTCAAACATGAGAACAAAAGAGCTCCTCTTCCTGCGAGCACGACCTCTGCTCTGGGTCCAGCTCGCCATGTTATCAGGGATATCCCACCTGATCACATTGCCACACGCCTGGATGTCAAGCCCCTCTTCCGCTACGGACGTGGCGACGATGAGGTTCTTGTCTCCAGACCGGAAATCATCGAGAACGTCTGATTGGTCCTTCAGGAGCGTACGAGTAATGTCAAGAAAGGTGTTGCGATAGGAGCATTGAGAGCTTCCCAGGAGGCACCCGAGTCTGAAATGAGGAGCACTGCGGGGATGGTTCCTTAGAACCTCGGCCAGTGCCAACACTTCATCACGGCGCCTGACAAAGATCAAGCCACTATAGGGCTCGTTCGATGACTCTGACCATTCCTTTTCGTACTCCAATGTATCCAATAGGACGCGGACTTTGTCCGTGATCCCGGCCTCGATGTCCACAGGATCGAGAGACAGGGCTGTCAACTCAATTTGAGAGAGATGTTTGATCAAGTAAGTCTTCTCCTTGGGTTGCAAGGACCCAGTGAAAGCGTCGTAGGGATTTTGTTTATCTAGTGCTCGGGATACAACGCCATCGATGTACCAGTCCGCTGCCCATGGACCAATGTCATAACATACGGCTGCGGCCGCGTTCGCGAGATCGTTCATTCCACTGTGTGAGTACGTCTTCTTGTTCTGTATCGTTTTAGACAGCTTCTGGTCCAGTCGTGTATAATCCTTGCCTGGAGATGTTTTTGCTAAAGCCCTACGTAGCTGTATAACGTAGGGATCCTCCTCGATGTTCATAGTAGCCAAAACGGCTCGGACTGACGACAAATTTTTAGAAGTATAGTTGCGATCCAGGTATTGCGGGGTATCGTAGCGCACGTGTCGGAATACCGGACGGTGGACATGAGTCAAGAGCTCACCCCGGTTGATTCGAGGACTACGAATAACGCAGTCAAGGTTGGCCTCTAATGTCCTGAAAAGGGTATCAATTCTATTTTTAGTCTCCAATCCGAGAACCATACCGGAAGGCTGCATTAGCATTTCCACCGAACATAGGGCTAGCGGTGAGACCCAAGATCATGGGACGTTCCTCCCTAGTCGTCTCACTAGACCCACTGACTGCGGGGAGGCGCAGAGGAAGGGAAAAGTAGAAACCTCGCATGATGCAACTCATAGGGTGATTTCGATCCGCATGATGAGCCTCATCGAAGACTAAGAGCCCAATGTCCAGCCCCATATGAATGTAGCCGTGGCTAAGCGCATCAAGGAGGACCTGCGGAGTAGATACTATAACACGATTATTTTCCAGTACTCGTTTCCACAAGGAAATGTCGGTCCATTGCTTTGGCTCAAGCGCCCCGTGAATTAGGCCAACAGGAACCTGCATGCTGTCCTTTATCACGCGGTGCTGCTGCTCGCATAGAGCCACAGTAGGCGCCAAAAACCATGACACCTAGGAACATCTGTGAAATAGGACCTTGGGACTGCACGACGTGAACGTACCTTTTGAGAGCCGCGTTCTATTTCATATCTCATCCTTAGAATCGCAATCAAAGTCTTGCCAGAACCGGTATCCTGAGCGATGATGATATTTTCTTTGAGACTGGCGCTCAGCATTTCTTGCTGATAATCACGAGTCTTTGGCATCGAATCGACAGTGACGGAGGGTTCTGCCATGTTGTTCTCGACCAGACTTGAAGTCATTGGCCAGATGTGGTGGAAAGACAAGATGTGGTGGGAAGACAAGATGTGGTGGAAAGACAAGATGTGAAAGAAGGACAGCGCTAAGCTGATTTTTGTCAGTTCACAGAGCGCGGCACCTCCTTCGCGCCTTATCTTTCGTATGAGCGCAAAAGGAAAACTGGCGGAAGGAACACCGGTGGACAATCTTCTAGTTAGGCAGCTGCGTCACAGCCTTTGTCTTGCGTAGTTAACCTGCACGAGCGCTAGGAGCTGGATCTAGTGTCCGACAAAAACTTCCACAAAGGCAGTACTAGTAGACTGCGGACGGGCTGCTGAAAAGCTAGGTTACCATGCATGGGGCGTGAGAAAGACTTTCCTTATCAGATAGACCGCCTGCATGTCCTCGCGCTCATTCCGTGCAGCTTTATATATGTCTCAACCAATTCCCCTCTCTCGTTTGAGGTCACCCGCATCAAGTTTTCTCACTGAGGAGCCTCAACAATCTTCCCCGAGAGATGTCGAAGACATGTTCCCAAGTACCCCATTATTCGACGAGCCACCAAACGCCATAACATCACCGTGGAAGCGTGCCCTTTTCGACTTGCTCGAATGTCCAACATCATCTTCGGCGGCCTTTCTCGTTCACTTTGCGTCGACTTCTCTCATTGTATTTTCTGCCATAGTTACGATTCTGGAGACTGTACAAAGTTTTCACTCTATCTCTCCTCGCGTATGGTTTGGTCTAGAAACAAGTCTCGTGCTTCTTTTTACTGTAGAATACTGCGCGCGCTCCGTGGCATGGAGCTCATCTTGGGTTTCACTGGCTAAATGGATTATCTGTGCGTGCAGTATTACAATTTCCAACATATACTTCTCACGTGGATAATCATCTTCCAGCCTTCTATGGCGTTATTGACATGCTGGCTATACTACCCTACTACATTGAGATAATGCTGCAACAAGATACCGTGCGCGATCTCCTGCTTTCTCCCTCACCAAACTGACTTCTGACAGTCTGTCCTGTTCCGCTTCTCCATTCTGCGCATGTTTCGACTATTGCGGGTCTTCAGGCCGTTCCGATACAATAGCACCATACTGCTGTAAGCATACCTTTCTTGGTCTGAGGTACATCTAATCACCGTCATTATTTCATTAAGAACCATCGAGGTCATGTATCTAGCTATTCGTAGATCGCACCATGCATTGCTTGCACTGAGCTTTTTTATTGCAATGGTGTTAACTGTCTTCAGCACGCTGCTGTACGTATACTAACACTACTCAGTCCAAGCCCTTTGTACTGATGACGCATTGCTCAGATATTTCGCAGAGCGTGGGACCTGGGACGATATTCTAGAAACGTTCATTAATTCAGACGGTGACCCCACTCAGTTCCAAGTACGGACTATTCCTTTGCCATGTCTACCGGTCTATATTTAACATTTGCCTTTTCGTAGTCTATACCCGCAGCTGCTTGGTGAGATCGTGTTTCTCTTCTTATTATCCACTTTATTAAGATGTAAACAGGTTCGTGCTAGCCAGTAAGTGGTGGTCTGACACAATGCTGTATCGCATTTCGCCTACTCACTTTCGTTTCCCAAATAGCAATTACTACAGTAGGTTATGGAGAGATCACACCTCGTTCTATCCTCGGGCGTTTGATCACGGTTCCTCTTCTCGCATTTGGTTTGCTTCTTATTGCCCTTCCGAGCTTCGTTCTCGGCAGAGAATTTAGTCTAGTTTGGGAACAGATGACCCATGACGAGGTCAGCCTTATTTGCCCCCCTTCCTCACTCAGCTTTATCTTCTACTTCTTAGGGCGTAACACGAGAACCAGACACGGCTGCGGCTTCTTTTGGTCACCACCAACTAGACTTTCAACCTTTAGAGCCACTAAAAGACCTTTCCAATCGCAAGCTCGCTCAAAATCAAACTGAGCTGAGTCAGCAGATATCGGAACTACGAGCGACGGTGGAAATGCAGGGCGAAATGATCAGGGAGTTACTTGGATATCTTCATGCGGAGGGAAAAGCAAAAGGGAAGCGCAGGGAAAATGCGGTTGGGAATGCTGTGAACTAACACATGTAGGACTTGGTAACTCTGCTGTTTGTTTTCACTCTCAGTTTGATTCAGCATCTGCCATCAGGCCACCGACACTTGTGAGATGTGATCTAGCATTATCGCTAACCACGTCGCTGTTTCAGATGCTATATGACGTGCATTCTTTTGGATGATTTCACATTAATTTCGATGTGTAAGTATGCATTCAGTAGCATCGTACCAAATTCGAAGCTTAGATAACATAACTCAGTGGTTACGAACGAACCTTGTAAAAAGGTTCAAAGATTGGCTGCAGCGTTTACACCACGTCCCAGTAGCCCATGATGCTGCCGCTTATCCTATATGACATTCTCTCCAAACTACCAGGCAATAACTGGTCACCTAACACCGCGAAGCCGAGGTCAGTAATTCATGCCATTCATGAGGATGCCCCAAGCTTTAGTGTCTGATCAAAGTCCACTGCGTCTCCAGGTTCGCCTTGAGCTACAAGGATCTTCCATTCGTGACCGTCTGGGTCGAATACTCAGACATCCACTCCACCATGAAGGCCATCGGCGCAAAGCCGAACAAGCGTCCAGACGGCTCGGACGTCTACACCGTTCCGGTCCTCAGCGACCCAAACACTGGCTCCCTTATCAGCGACTCCCTTGAGATTGCCTCCTACCTCGAGAAGACATACCCCGAAAAGCCCATCTTCCCAAATAACTCAGAACCTCTGATTCGCGCTTTCGACTCGGCCTATATGGGCTTGATTTTCCCCGCGATGAAGTTCATCGCCATACGCTGCGCGGAAGTATTAAGCCCAGCTAGTGCCAAGTTCTTCATTCGAGTTCGTTCGGCGGACTTCCCGCCTGAGATACCTTGGGATGAATTATCTCCCGAGGGCCCGAAGCGTGATGCGGACTGGGAGCTGCTAGAGAAGGGGTACAATACTGCGTACAAATGGTACCAGAAAAGTGACGGAAAGTGGATCATGGGCGAGACTTTCTCATATGCAGACATCATTGTCGCTTGTTGGTTGCTGATGTTGAAACGAATACTGAAGGATGATGAGTGGGCTAGGATAAGTTCTTGGAATGGGGGGAAATGGGCCCAAGTCCTTGCAGATGTCGAGAAGGAGTGTAAATTGACTTAGATGCCCTGCGTGTATAGAATCGATTTCAAAAACTCTGAAACGATAATAAATCATTTCGACAGCTGGACGGATACTCAAGCCACCAACGGCACAAACTTGCCACAGCACTCATACGGTGCGCATGTGAACAGGAAGAAACGACTGACTTGCATCTCATTTGGCCTGACTACTTGGGGGACTCAGAGTAATGCAGAGTACTGCAGAAGTCCTTCTCATGCATTAGTCTTGACCTACTAAGTTACATAGTATAAGTAGAAGGAACGGCTTTCTGTTATGGGGAAGACTAACTTAGTAAGTCACTTCGCAATCACGGTTACTTGATAGCTAATGTAAAATCTGTTTTTGCAGCCTGTTACTAGATGGGATAGTAGCACCAACTTAGTAGTAACGACTTCTTGGCCAGTGAAACCCATAATGCTGCTAAAAGAAACGGCCTCGAACTTCCTCTGGCTTCTCTTACGGGTAATATACATGTGCAGATTCTAGAGGTTATGTTATATTGTAGACAGCGTTAGCCGCAGGTATAGATAATCTACTGCACTTATAGTCTACAACTAATGCTATGATAACACTGCTAGTCCTAAGTGATCCGGAATACCTTTCATCCCGGTATGCGCTGTACTGCGCGAAGCGCAGTAAAGCACTACTCCGCAGTGAATTATTTAATGCTAACCTAGTCAAGATCTCACCATCTGATGGATCGCGGGGTAAATTGACAGAATCGTGCATCATTAGCCACGCTGAACACCTTACACAAGATTCCTTGGCCTGCGGATGAATAAATACAGTCCACGGAGGGGGGTCAACCGATATTGGGGGTGTCGATGCAGCAAAAGTATTCGGCGAGTACTACATCATCATTGTGTTACTACTTGGGATTCCAGAATCTGTCTAATGTAGCCTGCTTTGCATTCTGCAATTCCTCGTGCCGTAGTGTTGCTCGGAATGCACGAAGCTTGTGAATAAGGTCAAGTGACAAACCAGCACCAGCTCGTGCAATACATGCCATCTCAAGCTTTTCACAGAGCAGAATTAGTTCTGCGGCACAGACCTTGGATTGATCGTCGTCGTCATCTGATTCCACTTCGACCAGCTCCCCGCTCCTAATTGCTTGCTGGCGCCGAATTTCTGCAACAATTGCGTCATCATCTTCATAGGGTAGAGTCAATGTATAGCCTTCGAAGGTCCAATATACACTATGAGATATGGTTTGTACCGAGTATATAGGACTACCACTAAGTTGCCGGAGTTGATGCATGACAACGTGGTGAGGATGGATTTGATAGTTGCTCTGGTCCCAATGGCGCGCAGCCCCACTAAGACACACCAGTCGCGTCCCAAACCTGCCCCATACAAGCGAAAACCAAAGACACCTCGCCAGAAAGATGCTCCTGCAACATCTGCAAAGCTTCCTGACACTAGCAGACGCAAGAATCTTACCTCGAATGACTGGCTGATGGTGTTTGCATATATTGATGCACATCCAGACTTACCTCACGATAACTGATTATACAGTTTTTGGGCGTCTACCTGTGTACCTCGATGTGAATTGCCAAAACTCGATACAATATGAGATTTATGCATTATTAACGTATACATTATGAGAAAGTGTACTGTAGTTACTGCTTATCAGCGCAGCCCTTCAGTAGATCGATACCATCTCAAGCGCCTTGCACCGCACCTGTCCTGATCTAACTTCGACATCACTGCGCGCCCATCAAGTCCTAGATGACTCAGTGATTACGAATGAAACTCGGTTGAAAGATGTTTATAAGGTTGACCGCAGCAGCGTTTACCCCACGTCCCAATAGCCCATCTAATGCTGCCGCTTATCCTGTATGACACCCTCTCCGAACTACCAGGTAATCACTGGTCACCCAACCCCGCAAAGCCGAGGTCAGTAATTCATGCCATTCATGAGGATGCTCCAAGCTTTGGTGTCTGACTAAAGTCCACTGCGCCCCCAGGTTCGTCTTGAGCTACAAGGATATTCCATTCGTGACCGTCTGGGTTGAATACTCAGACATCTCCATCGCTATGAAATCCATCGGCGCAACGCCTAGCAAACGCCGAGATGGCTCGGACGTCTATACTGTCCCTGTCCTCAGTGACCCAAACACTGGCTCCCTTATCAGCGACTCCCTTGAGATTGCCTCCTACCTCGAGAAGACATACCCCGAAAAGCCCATCTTCCCAAATAACTCAGAACCTCTGATTCGCGCTTTCGACTCGACCTATATGGGCTTGATTCGCCCTGCGATGAAGTTCTTCATCGCACGCTGCGCGGAAATATTAAGCCCAGCTAGTGCCGAATTCTTCATTCGAGTTCGTTCGGCGGACTTCCCGCCTGAGATGCCTCGGGATGAATTATCTCCCGAGGGCCCGGAGCGTGATGCGGGCTGGGAGCTGCTAGAGAAGGAGTACAATGCTTTGTACGAATGGTACCAGAAAAGTGACGGAAAGTGGATCATGGGCGAGACTTTCTCATATGCAGACATCATTGTCGCTTGTTTCTTGCTGGCGCGGAAACGAATACTGAAGGATGATGGGTGGGCTAGGATAAGTTCTTGGAATGGGGGGAAATGGGCCCAAGTCCTTGCGGATGTTGAGAAGGAGTGTAAATTGGCTTAGATGCCCTGCGTGTATAGAATCGATTTCGAAAACTCTGAAACGATGATAAATCATTTCGACAGCTGGACGGATACTCAAGCCACCAACGGCACAAACTTGCCACAGCACTCATACGGTGCGCATGTGTACAAGAAGAAACGACTGACTTCCATCTCATTTGGCCTGACTACTTGGGGGACTCAGATTTGAGTGACGACAGAAAGTCGTTTTTTTTTGAAGGCGCTTTATACTTGAACTTGAGGGATGTCGACTTTACAGTGCACGGGTCAGGCTTGAATGTTCGAACACCTCAAATTTAAACTTACGAATGAATTATTGCAATGCTGGTCAGTTCTCTTGCCAGTGTTCAAGTGCATCAGACTTCGCCTTCACGTACGATGACGATGTGCGTGTTGTATAGCAGCGAGTGCGTCGCTTATGCTGTAGATCAAATGCAATCAAGTCAATACATTTTCTAGTTTGAGCATAAACTTACAGCTGAAGGTTGGAACTTGGAAGCAAGCCACGCATAAATCGCAGGCCCTCAGGGACCCTGTCCTAGTGCTGTCGTGGTCCGGTTCAGTCCAGTTCAGAGGAGGTTAGGAGAGAACCGAGAACCCCCTTTCACGAATGATATCAAAGTCGGTGTTAGAGTAGCGTATGGGTATGCACCATAATCATGATAAGGAATGAAATGATGTATTGACCAGGCACACGCCACGGTCGCGGTGTGAGCCTCGCCAGGTGAGTCATAGCTCGTTGGCATATTCTAGTTAATAGTACGAGGGTTAGGCTTGATGAGGGTAATGGGTACTTGACTTCCGGGAGATAGTAAATAAAGATATGGGATAGGACTTGAGTTTAAAGCGCCCGATCCGAGTCTCTTGTACAAATCCATGGACTGGATGACCTTCATCTTGTTCCTCTGATCGACGATTTGCTGGTGGTTGCTGGTGTTCGAGTGACCACGTGACTCTGACTCATCTGGGGGAAAAACTGAAACGTACCATCAGCTATCATCATCTATAATCTATAAAGTAAGGGAGAATGGTATCTTAAAAAGTAAGGGAGAAGGCAAGGGGGGGAGGTGGGAAGATTTGGGCATTTCCGCGTAGCGCACATGGCGTCGGTAAGCCTCGCCAGCATCAGCTGGCGTCGGTATTTTCGGTTATTTCGCTAAGGTGGCTGAAAAAAGCATCCCACATGGTTCTGTCAACCGGAGTTTGAATTTCCGAAAACCATTGTCCCCTACTGTACCAGCTCGCTGTCCAAAATTGGGAATTTGTAAAAATTGAGCCACAATGGGATACACCAAGCAAATAGAAAAATGTGAAAAATGCGAAAATAGAAAGATGGGATTGGCAGGTGCTCACTGGCCCTCCATTTTGCACAACAACAATGATTTTATATGTACTGTAACTGTGATACATGATGATAAATGGTAAAAATTGAAGGACAAAAAGGGATTTTGGGATTTTTTTGGGGGAAAAGAGAAAAGAGAACACCAAGCCAGTAGAAAAATGTGAAAAATGCAAAAATGCGAAAATATAAAGATGGCAAAAATTGGCAATGGGTAAACAGGAGAATGGGAGGATGGAGAATGGAGAAATGGGGTGAATAGGAAGATGGGAGGATGGGAGGACAAGAGGAGGACAAGAGGACACAATGGGAGGATGAGAGGGCTACAGGAGGACAAGAGGATGGGAGGACAAGAGGAGGACAGGACAATGGGACATGGGACAATGGGACACGGGAGAACAGGACAACAGGACATGGGACATGGGACATGGGACACGGGAGAACGGGAGAACAGGACACGGGACATGGGACACAGGACAATGGGACATGGGACAACGAGACATGGGACATGGGACAATGGGACAACAGGACACAGGACAACAAGACATGGGACAATGGGACATGGGACAAGATAATTGGGAGGAAGTGTATGAGTCAATAGCATGACACAAACAGTTTGACTGAAGGTTACCTGGGACACTGGCTTGCATCCCGCTGGCCGAGGCACGAGGCCACGGGATTCGCAAGCCAGTGTCCCAGGTAACCTTCAGTCAAACTGTTTGTGCAACATCCCATAACTAAAACAAAACTATATAATGTAAGAAATTATTGATTTGTTATAATTAAATAATATGTAGACACAGTGAGACAAGGCACCGAAGGTGCCTCCAGCAGAGCACGAAGTGCTCTGCTTGCTTCCTGTGCCGAAGGCACAACGGGCTTGGACTCGTCTATAAAGTAAGGGAGAATGGTATGGGGGAAACCGTGAGAGACGCGTATTCCGCGTATTCCGGCAGTGTCGGTTGTTTCGGTTGCGTCGGTTATCAGACCTTTTAGGAATTTTCGCGTGCTTTTCATTTTCGGAGTTCCATTTCCCTACGAGTTTCGAAACCTCGCAATCTAAACACCTCTTTCCCCCCACCATCTGTTTCCTCACACACTATACTATTGTTGAAATTGTTGAAGTATCCTCTCCCCAGTGATTTGTAAATTTGTAGTGAAATTCCCCTCCTGGGGTAAGCTTTACTTATTTAAATACAAAAATATAATAATAACTTGAAAGATTCAAAAAAATATAGTGATTTTCGCTTTTCTGCTGCTTTTGGACCGCTTTTTGGACCATTTGGACCGCGTTTGGACCTCCCTTGGACCCCTGGACCCTCCTGGACCCTTTGGACCCCCCCTGGACCCTTTTGGAGAGCAGGTTCGTGTGGTGTGTTTGTTGTTTGTTTCTGGGCCCGAATCCCACGGAGGAACGGGGGAAATCAGGTACCTAAATACAAGACGAACGTGTGAGGAGTCTTGCGGGCGTCTTTTGCAGTTGTCAAAGACTGTCCTGTGAGATCTCCGTGTCAAGTCCTACCTCCCTGGCTGCCTGTTTTTACGGGTGTTTGCCGGTTGCTATCAGCTTTTGCTGGGACCTCTGATAGCACTACAGTGCAGAGATTTGGTTGGCGGGACGCTTTTTGCGTTGAGTCTGACTGCTGGGTGTTCTATCTGGCAGTTGCTCACAGTTGCCTTCCTATCCCCTGGGATAATATCTCGGACAGCATTTTTGTTGTCTTCAGCACTGTCATACGTCGATTCCTGACACGATCCTGTCCTCGGGAGGCTCAGACTTCTTCAACCACCCACACACACCCACTTTGTTGGATTCCGACCCATGTACGTAATGTGTCTCTCATGTTTTCCTCAACTAATTTTGCTGCAGTGGTATTTCTATCCTATCCATTAGCCAGATTTTGCCCCATTTTTCGATTTTGTTGCTACATACTGCCATGTTCATATATCATTTATATATATATTTTATTGAGTCCTGCTAATTAATTTCTCCTCAGGCTTCCTTCCACTCCACCTACTTCCCCTCAACGAGCTCAGTCTGTTGCACGTCAGGCTGAGAGAAATCAACGTAATCTTGGCTCGCCTCCTGCACGGCGATCTTGGCTCGCCTCCTGCACGGCGTTTACCACAAAATGACCTTGCCCATATTGTATGTCTATTTTTTTTAACAAAAACTTCGACCATTACTAACATAATATCCTATTCAGAATGTTCCTCAAATGTTAGGAAATTTAAATCATGCTCAGATCCCTGTGCAGAGATTTCCTGGAATTCCACGAACGCAATTGAGCGTCATGAGGCGCATCGTCAGTGGCGTGCTCATCACCCACCACCACCCCTGCCTGCTCCAGGCTTTGGCTATTTTCCTCCTGCTCCTGCTCCTGCTCCTGTCTATCCTCCAGGGTTTGGTGGCTATCAACCTCCTCCTGCTCCTGCTCCTGCCCCCGTCTATCCTCCAGGGTTTGGTGACTATCAACCTCCCCCTGCTCCTGCTCCTGCTCCTGCTCCTGCCCCCATCTATCCTCCAGGGTTTGGTGGCTATCACCCTCCTCCTGTCCCTGCCCCAGCTCCTCCTCCTGTCTATCCTGCTGCTCAAATGCCAATGTATGGTGCTGTATATTATGAGGGTGCAGCTCACCCTCAAAACATGCAGAATGCCCATCCCTTTCTCCATGAGCCTGGTGTTCAGGGAGTACGAGTTGGAGTTGACCATAACTTCAATCTAATGGAAAATTTCAATCGTGCTCAGGAGGAACGTCGAAGGCAAAGACGTAACAGACGGGGTCCTGCTCCCAATCCACCACCTCCTGATCTGCCTCCTGCTCCATTTAATCCTCCTAATCCTCCTCAACCTCCTGATCCTCAACCTGAACCTGATTATGCTCGATTTAACGTTCAGTTTCATCATCATTTGCAAAACTTGCAAAATCAGGTTGAAGACATGGAAGATCCACGTCTTCGCCAAGTGAGGGAGGAAATGATGCAGCGACAAGCACAGGAGGCTCATCGTCAGCAACAGCTTCATGAACAGTTGCAGCAACAAGCACAGGAGGCCCACCAGCGGCAACAGCTTCAGCAACGGTTGCTGGATCAAGAGATGCATAGGCAAGCACAACTTTTGCAAGCCCAACAACAAGCTCTCTTGCGTGGACAGGAAGAGGAAGCACGTCGTCATCACATAGCTCAGCAGGAGCAGGAGCATCATCTTCAGGCAGAGCAAGAGAGGCTTCAGCTTCAGGCAAATCTGGATGATGCTTGGCAGGACTATCACAATCCAGGATCACAGGAGCAGCATGACCAGGACGAGGAGAGAAGGAGAGCTCAGGAGCGTGAACGTTGTCAGCAGGATGATCCAGAGGATGAGCAAAATGCCGATCAACCACCACCACCATCACCACCACCACCACCACCACAGAACATTCCTATTCCTGTTCAACAACCACCTCATAATGCTCCTGTTCCTCCTGGAGGTCAGCCATATGCAGAGCCTATCAATCATCACACTCTTGGTCCTCTCACTGTAGAGTGTCCCAACTGTCATGCCCGTCACTTTGCAACTGAAAGACTCACCAACTCCTCTGCACGTAATCCAAAATTTGGCATGTGTTGCTTGCAGGGCCAAGTTCATCTCCCACCCCTCCTACCATGGCCTCCTGAGCTCCAGCAGTTGTATCAACAGCGTGAATTTGTCACCAATATTCGTCAGTACAACAGTACTGTGGCATTCACCTCTGTTGGTGTTAAAGTCGATGACCTTGCTCTTCGAGGCTCTGGCCTAAGCTCCTTTCGCATCCATGGATCTCTCCATCACCTCATGGGAAGTCTTATGCCTGGAGAAGCTCAACAGCCTGCCTATGCTCAGCTTTATGTCTTTGATGTAGAGCATGCCACCGATGTTCATGTTGACAGAAACCGCAATCTCAATCCTCAGACCCTCAGACAACTCCATGATATGCTCTACAGACACCATCCCTATGCTCAACTTTACAAGGCAGCCTATCAAGTCATGATAGAGAAGCCTCCAGAGCAGCACAGAGATGTTCAAGTACGCATTCACTTCAAGCCAGGCAGTGATGGTCGAAGATACAATCTTCCTACTTCCAATGAGATTGCTGCCATCATTCCTGGAGATGGATCTGAGGACGTTTCTGATCAACGTGACATTGTATTGCGACTCCAAGGTGGTCAGCTTCGCCGCATCAGCCAGCTCAGTCATGCCTATTCCACCCTTCATTATGTCCTCATGTTTCCTTCTGGTGAGGAGGGATGGCATCTTGACATTCCTCTCCGTCTCCCTGAGGGTGGTCATGGTCGTGCAAAAAAAGTCACCCAGCTGCTGTATTATGGTTATCGCCTTCACATCCGTCCACCTGCAATCGAGCCTGACAACATCTTTCGTGCAGGACGGCTCTTCCAGCAGTATGTGGTTGATGCTTGGGCTACTATCGAGCAAGGCAATTTGAACTGGATCAAAACCAACCAGAAGAAGCTCAGGGCGGACTGCTACAGAGGCTTGACAGATAATGTCCTCAATGATGGCATCGATGATCTGGCTGAGACAGGGCGTTCCTTCATCCTTCCTTCCTCTCATAGTGGAGGTCCTCGCTATATGTATCAACTCCTTCAAGACTCCTTGGCTATATGTCGTGCATGCAAAAAACCAGACCTATTCCTCACCATGACTGCAAATGGGAGTTGGCCAGAGATTGCTGACAATCTTCTTCCAGGTCAGTTCGCATTTTTTGCCTTATTGATGTTTTCATTGCTGATCAGTCATAAAGGTCAGACTGCTGTTGATCGTCCAGACTTGGTGGCTCGCAGTGTTTTATCTCAAGCAGCGGGCCCTCTTGAAGAAGGTTCGCGATGGCTTCTATGGAAAGGTCGCTGGATTGGTGTACACCATCGAATATCAGAAGCGCGGTCTCCCTCACATGCATCTCCTCATCTTCCTTGAGCCAGAGTACAAGATACGCACTGCAGAGCAGGTCGACTCCTTCATCTCTGCTCAGATTCCTGACCAGAACCTTCATCCACAACTCTATGAAGCTGTCAGCAAATTCATGCTCCATGGTCCCTGCACTCCAGAACGTTGCTTGGAGAATGGTCATTGCAAGAAGCGTTATCCAAAGACCTTCTGTCCTCAAACATTCATGAAGGAGGATGGCTATCCAGAGTATGCACGACCTGACAATGGCCGCACAGTCCAGAAGCCTAATGGCAATGTCTTCACCAACAAAGATGTTGTTCCTTATCCTCCAAGGCTGTTGGCAGAGTTCGACTGCCATATCAACATGGAGGTCTGTGCGTCCATCAAGTCTGTCAAGTACATCCACAAGTACATCTACAAAGGACACGACCGTGCCACCTTGGAGATGGGAGGAGCAGTGGATGAGGTCAAATCATACCTTGACTCCAGATACATCAGCTCTGTCGAGGCTATGTGGCGCATCTTTGAATTTCAGATGCATGAGGAATGGCCCACTGTCTATCGCTTGCCAGTCCACCTCCCTGATGAGCAGATGGTCGTCTATGATCCTGAGGATGATGCCCAAGATGTTCTGGACCGTGCTGCAGCCAAGGAGACTTGCCTTACTGGATGGTTCATAGCCAATTCTGATGAAGACCTGGTGGCAGCTGGAGCCCATGACTATCTCTATCAAGACTTTCCCTCCCGCTTTGTCTGGGTTGACAGGAAGGCATGGAAGGAACGCCAACGCGGAAAAGCAATTGGAAGGATGTATGCTGCTGGACCCAACTCTGGAGAGCGCTTCTATCTGAGATTGCTTCTGACTATCGTTCCAGGTGTGTATCATTTGATCCCTCTCATGTCTGCCATCTGCTGACTATTGTTTTTTGAAGGGGCTACCTCCTATGAAAACCTTCGCACTGTTGACGATCATGTCTGTGCTACTTTCAAGGAAGCATGTCAGCTCAGAGGTCTCCTTGATGATGATGGGGAATGGAAGCAATGCTTGAGAGAGGCCTCTCACATGTGCACTGGACATGGCCTGCGAAGTCTTTTTGTCATCATACTCCTCCACTGCCTCCCTACCAACCCTCATCTGCTTTGGAACGACTTCAAGGATAATCTTTGCGATGATCTGCGTCACCGTCTCATTCATCGACTGCACATACAGGATCCCACTCCAGAGCAGGTCCATGACTATGGTCTCTATCTCATTGATGGTCTTCTTCACAAGAATGCCAAGTCCCTCGAGGTGAACTTCCCTGACATACCTCGCTCTCATATGAACTGGGGGGACAGGGAGGGAAACCAGCTGATAGTCGAGCAACTGGACTATGACCAGGACGTTCTCCAGGAAGCTGTGGATAGAGGAGTGCCCACCCTCAACCAGGAGCAGAGACAAGTCTTTGATGCAGTGGTTGAAGATGCCATGAATCGTGATGATCAAACACCTGGACATCCTCACTTTGTGCACAGTGCAGGTGGATGTGGCAAGACATATCTCTGCAACCTCATTGCTTCCAAACTGCGTGCTGAGGGCAAGATTGTTCTCTGTGTGGCTTCCTCTGGAATTGCTTCTCTCCTTCTGCCAGGTGGACGAACAGCTCATTCCCGTTTCAAGCTCCCCATTCCCCATCCATGAGGACAGCACCTGCAACATCAAGAAGGGAGATCCTGTCCATGAGCTTCTGAAGCGCACCTCTCTGATCATCTGTGATGAGATACCAATGCTCCACCGTCACAACCTGGAAGCCTTGGACCGTACCTTGCAGCGATCTTCTTGGTGTTGATGCCGACTTTGGAGGAATCACTGTGCTGTTTGGAGGAGACTTCAGACAGACCCTGCCAGTGGTGCCTCATGGATCCAGGGAGCAGATTGTCAGTGCCACCTTTTGCAGATCTCGCCTCTGGCCAAGACTTCGCATCTTCCACCTCAAGACAAACATGCGTCTTGGTCAAGATCCTGCATCTGATCGATTTGCTGCATGGCTCCTTGAGATTGGGGGTGGTATGGGCACAGATGGAGATGGCACAGTGACTCTGCCAGAAGGAATGCAATGTCCCAACAATGACATCCCATCCCTGATCAACAAACTTTACTCTGATGTCCTCCAACCCAATCATCCTCCCTTGCCTGACTCCTACTTCCTGGACCGCACAATCCTCTCTGCAAAAAACACTGATGTGGACGAGATCAACACCTCAATTCTCAACTCATTTGCTGGAGACAAGAAGTTGTTCACAAGTGCAGACTCAGTGACAGACAGGGAATACAAATACATCCCTCAAGAGTTCCTTCACACTCTCAACCCATCAGGGTTCCCTCTGCACAAACTGGAGGTGAAGAAAGGAGTGCCTCTGATGCTCCTGCGCAACTTGGACCCCACACAGGGACTGTATAATGGGACTCGGATGATCCTGGTGGATTGGAACACAAGAATTCTCAAGTGTCGAATTCTCAAAGAGGGCAACAATCAAGTGGATGGTCAAGATGAAGCCACTGTGCTGATTCCTCGGATGAACATGGAGGCCAGTGATGAAGAGAACCCCATTCCTCTGAAGCGTCGACAATTCCCTGTGCGACTTGCATTTGCCATGACTATCAACAAGGCTCAAGGTCAGAGTGTCAAGTGGGTTGGTCTAAATTTGAGGACACCTGTGTTCAGTCATGGACAGCTGTATGTGGGTTTGTCTCGGTGCACTCACCCATCAAGAGTATTTGTGATTTTCCCTGAAGATGAAGAAGAGAGAAAGACAAGCAATATAGTGTACACAGAGGTGGTTAGAAGACTGATTGAAGATTGATGTACAACAGATTGTATAAATGTGTATTTGTATATGACAAAGATTTATTTATTGAAATTGTGTTGAAATGATAAAGACTGGAGGGGCAAACGGCCCCTCCAGCAGAGCACGAAGTGCTCTGCTTGCTTCCTGTGCCGAAGGCACAACGGGCTTGGACTCGTCATAAAAGAATGGGAGACCGGTTTTGTGGCTGTGTGTGGGAGACGCGTAGCTCGCTAAAGGCCACATGGGAACGCTTAGCTCGCTTAACCTCGATTTAGAAATTTCACGTGGTTCTGTCAATCGGAGTTTCAATTTCAAAAAACCGTTCTCCCTTACTATACGACCTCACTGTCCAAAATTGGTTAAGCCACAACAAGGGGAGGAACACCAAGCAAATAGAAAAATGTGAAAACAACAATGATGTATATATGTACTGTAATTTATTGTGTATACATAAAAATGTGAAAAATGCGAAAATATAAAGATAGGAAAAATGGGCAATGGGTAAACATGGGAATGGGAAGGTGGAGAATGGAGAAATGGGAGGAGGAGGACGGGAGGATGGGAGAATGGGAGAACAGGAGAATGGGAGAATGGGAGATAGGAAAGCAGAAAATAGGACAGAGACACGGGAGAATTTTTTGGGAAGGGCAAGAGTCAACAGCAAGACACAAACAGTGAGACTGAAGTTTACCTGGGACACTGGCTTGCATCCTGCTGGCCGAGGTACGAGGCCACGGGATTGCAAGCCAGTGTCCCAGGTAAACTTCAGTCTCACTGTTTGTGTCTTGCTGTTGACTCTTGCCCTTCCCAAAAAATTCTCCCTGTGTCCTCTGTCCTCAGAACTAAAATAAAAGTATATAGTATTTTGTAAATGTAATATGTAGACATGTGCCGAAGGCACAACGGGTGTGGGCTAGTGGTAAGTCCAAGGCGGCCACCACCACGCCAATGCATGCAGACCAGGTACGTAGACAAAATCGAAAATATAATGATGGTGTAAACGGTTCAGGGTTCGGTCCGGTCCGGGTCCGAACCAAAAAAGGTGGAACCTAGGCCTTGTTTCTCCGCCAGATTTCCGCTGAAAGGTTCCGACATTGGAGAGGTGGCTATTTTTCTGCCTCTCCGCCAGCGTTTTGACAACGTTCTGGACACTGGGTATCAACCGGCTGATATCTTGAGTCTGGAATACTATGCTCGCGGTTACTATTTAATTACCAGCTGCGCTAAATTAATATTGATTATGATTGTTTTCTAAATTGATACATATCAATATTTAATCATACAATTGATTAGTATCTGGGGTAATTGCACCACGTCGCTTCGTTTGCTTCGTCTGCACACATATCCAGGAAACCCAACAATATATTATAACCTGCAACTACTAGGTGCTGGTATTGTTGTAGATACAGTAGATATTCCTAGAGATACTGTACTAATGCAATCAATTCGACAGTCACGTATCACACCAGCTGGTGTCGGTGTCGAAAATAAGTCATAGTCACAGGTCACATTGAGGTTTGTCGAAACCATCACAAATGTTATGAGTGGAAGCAAAATGTGCCTCCGCTACCTCCTGATTAACCGAGACAATGGATTTTTTTTAATTACAGCACTTTGCGAATATGATGACAGTTGTATGCTTTCAGAGAAAGAGAAAAATAAATAAAACACATAACCACAGTCAATATGTATCTGTGTTATTCTCTACTACCATGTTCCGCAAAATCAGCCGTGACGTCAAAATTGCTGTAATAAAACTCTACAAAGATGCTCATATGTCCAAAGACGACATTATAAACTAGTGTTTTAAAGTCCAGTTACTGGACCGAAAAAAGACCGGCAACCCAACTGGACCATGAACGGTTGCAACTGGACCTCGGTTGTGGTTGCACTCTATTTTGCTAACCCCGGTTGTCGGTTGCCTGACATTAGTTAAATTCCCAGGACTGCTGGAAAACCAGTTGCGACTGGTCACAAGTCAAACCGGTTGCACATTGACACAAGAACTATACCATGAGACATGTAATGAAAGTAACTACACGGTGACTAACTCGCCCTCGTCCTGATCCCACTTGACCATGTCATTCTTGTCCAACATAAGCTCCACATATTCCTGCAATGTGACTTGCTTGATGATTGATGCGTTTGTAGCAGCCATATCAATGATGGTATCCCACCATGCATGCTTGAGGACCTGTAGTTGCTCGAATTTATCAGAACCAAGATGTGAGTGACGATCGGTTGCAATTTCTGTGCCTGCTGAGAATAGCCGCTCGCATGGGACAGAAGATGCCAGAACTGCGCAAACATCCATTGCAATTCTTGCAAGGGTAGGGTAGATAGATGAATGGTTCTATGTGACATTAAAAAAGAATAGTAAACATACTAAATAAACTCACCGACCACCACTGAATGATGTCGGTATCCTTCGTAACATCCTCTGGCATGTCTTTGAGGTAATGGCGAAGCTCGGCTGCCCATCCAGCATTGTGCTCATAGATGGCCTGCTGAACTAACATGTGGCGATGTTGGTCATACTCAGACTCAACGGTCGAGTCACCATCAGCATTAGTAGTATCACCAGTTCCCAAGCTTGTGGGAAGTGGTTGGTGCAAGTCCCAATACTCCTCCATCATCTTTTCAACTACCTTGAGCGCTTCATCATGCCAGTCTTTGGCGTTTTGATTTCCTGCAGCATGCTCTCTGGCTTGTTCTTCAGGACCTCCCCACGCCATCTTGATATATGCGAGTTTGTAGTATGGGTGCAGCACTGTATATATAATCAGTCAATTGACAGTCGCGTTGAATTATGATATAGCAAACGTACCAAGGGCAAGAACATAGACCGGCTTATCATCCAACTTGTTGTAATACTTTGTGATCTTTGTGAGACCATGTTGAAGGGCTTCCTTGTACAACGTGAATTGTATAAGTCCACACTTTGATTCCCAAGCCATTTGCAGTTCCTCCATAGCAGGTATTGCACGCCATAGTGTTGGCAGGTGTTCAGAAGAGAAGTATTGTTGGATGTCATTGGCGTCCCAAGAAAATGTTAGTGGGTGTTGCTTAGATGCTGTTTGTGACTTACTGATATCATAACTCGAGTATCATTCATGCGCTCCCAGTCTGATGACTTAAGGCTAAACACGGTCCATGGGATATGCTTTGTGACACGTCTGTGATGCCGGATGGATGTGATTGGTCCAAAAAGCTCATCAGCTGAATTCACAAAGAGATTGATAGCCTAAATAGAAGGTCAGCATCGACGAACCACATAAAATTGTTAGTGTACCTGCTGTAGGTGATAGGCACGACCAAGCATCCCATCAGCAGTCCCCCAGCGCACATTACTATGAAGAGGGATCTTGAGCGGTCTTTTGATGCCACACTTGCCTTGCAGCATCTCGAAATACTCAATGCGCTGTCCTGAGCACTGAATCTTCAAGCCGTTAGATAAAATAACTTGCCAGAAATAATGAGAACATACCTTGATGGCCAATGTACATATTGCGGCAACGACATCAAGTGAGTCTCCAAGAACGCGGTTGTTAGGCAGTGATGGGTCAAACTCCCATATAGCCATGGTAGTCTCAACATTGGCAATGCGTGTGATGACTGACATAACATCAGTGATGGCAAGATTAAGGACATGGGCAAGACAGGGAAGGCGGTGTTGAGTAGCATCAAAGTTGTAGATATGACGGCGGTGCAGTAGTGTCTCGATGTTATCGCAAGTCGTGTCATTGTTGCTGGTATTGTCTGCAGTAAGACAGAACAGCTAGTGGAGGCCTGCATTAGCGTCTCAGATGACAGACCAGTAGAAATATGTACCTTACTTGAGTGCACTGTGATAATTCCAGCATGCTCACACAGACCCACAAGATACCGTGCCAGGTTGTGCCCACTGTGTGCCCCAGATATACCTCTAAATGCAATAACCTGTGAAAATAGCGTCCATGAAGTTTTGCTAGCCTCAATCCAGTGTGCGGTAAGGCCTAAAAATGCAACCTTGGTTTGATCAACAGACCACAAGTCAGTTTTTGTTGAAATATGGCCAGTTGTGGCAGCCTGAGACATGTTAGCCTGAGATAGAGGAGCAACTAGTAGTAGGGATGACTCACCTGCATTTTGGCCTTGAGCCCCCCAATGAAATTGATGAAAGAGTTGTGAATATAAGATGACACATCATGGGCTGAGGGTATGTCCACTGGCAAAGTGCCTGGCCGCATTGCCACCAGGCAATTTCTAAATGAGTGTTTGTCAGCCACCGCAAGACTCTAATATACAACAGCGCTGATTTCAACACTATCGACTTGCAGCAATGTATGATAATCACTCACCTGATCATCACAGACGACAAACTTGGCAACCGCATGCAAGATATTATCTCTTGAATACTCCTTTGACTTCTGCTTCTTCTGAAACATTCCATCAAGGCTCTGATTTCCCAGTTTCTTCACTTCCTGCCTTCTCTTCACTATGTTGCATGGTATCGCATGGTGATGCTCTTGCAAACCCAGTTCTTCGCACTTGCTCTTGTACACCTCATAATGACTCCGGATGTGCTGCCGACAAGATGAGTTACTTCCAACATGAAACATCTTATGCTTCCCATTTTTTGCAACAAATTTCTGATCGTTTCTGTGGGCACAACATACTAGTAAGTCATTGTGATTTATTTAATTGAATTTATCTACTCACTTGCATATATTGCACCAGCGTCCCTTCACTGTTTCGATATTTCCACTCGTTTCGCAAAACTTGACTGTACAACGATCTGAGAACACTGTAAGTACATCATCTGCACTGCACTTTTTTGTTTTCCGTGCATCAGGTACAATTGCATGATGTATTTCTTGCAGGCAATTGCTGTCCTGCCATCAAATACATTCAGCTAACATCCAATCAACAGGCTACAATGAAACAAATTGTAATCACCACTTCATCTTTGTTATCGGTATCATCTACAGGCTCGACTTCAACCTCGTCGTCCTCACCCTCCAATTCAACCTCCTCAATGGACTTTCAATGAGCACATTTCGGCTTCGACGGTGCTGGAGCCTTTTTTTTCGAAGTTTCTCTGCGTTTGGCCTCACCCTCACTGGTTTCTAACTCGCTCTCGCTAGTCACAGCTTTCCTTTTCCGACTCTTTGCCTTTGGCGATGAAGGCTTTGACTTTGGTGGCCGTGAGCACTTTGCTTTGTCAGATACCATCATGGCAGCGGCTTTTTCAGTTGGTCATCATGCGCATGTAGACTTGCCACCTGACATAGCAGAGAGATACTAAGTTCAATGTAGTGGAGGGGGGGATTCAAACAGAAGGCTCTAGTAGCACTAGTAGTTGCACCAGTATTTTCTTATATGCTACAGCATTGTGTATACCACGTTCCTACATGACTCACTATGTACTTGGTCTAGACTGGTTCAACCTGGTCTGGGACCGCTTTATGAAGACTGGTTGCAACTGACTGTCATATGGTCCTGCAACTGAAGTTAACCGGTCTTTGAGAGTTTGGTCCGGTCTTGTGTTAGTGCCGCTAAAAACTAGGACCAGTTTGGGTCCGGTTGTGCCAAAAAAGGCAAAAAAAACCGGACCAAACCTGACTTTAAAACACTATTATAAACTGTGTTGGCTTCTCTGAAAGCACCTTCTGGCGCACACTCAAGCTATGGAGGGAGACGAGTGATGTCATCACTCTGTTGTGCACTACTCGTGGTCGCCCCCATCTTCTATACTACAACAATGTTGATTACCTTGTCCAACTCATTGAACACTGTCCTACGTGGTTCCTGGATGAGCTTGCCGAAATGCTCGACAGTAACTGGTTCATTTCCATTCATTATGTCACTGTTCATCGGACACTGGAGCGTGCTGGGGTTTCCTACAAAAAGTTGCGGCACATTGCCAAAGAGAGGAATGAGCTGTGTCGTGCGGAGTTTGTTGCTCGCATGGCACAATACCAGCCAGAAGAAATTGGGTTTCTGGATGAAACTTCAAAGGACGAACATACTCCGGGGAGGGCTTGGGGCTGTTTGAAGTGTGGGAAATGTGCAGAAAGTCAGCAGCCTTTTGTCAGAGGATCGCGGGTGTCTGCACTCGGTCTGCTCACAATTGATAGAATGATTGCCTCAGCAGTTATTGAAGAATCATTCACCACCAGTTGCAGAAATGATTGCATTGCATGGTTGGTCTTGCTCTCAATTGCTAATCTAAATCTGACTACGTTTTCTAGGTGTACAACTTGAATATCTTCCGCCATACTCTCCAGACTTGATCCCTATCGAGGAAGCTTTCTCGAAGATCAAGGCTTTCATTTGTCATCATGAGGACTATTTTGTGGGCTCGGATAGCATTATTTTTGATGCATATGAAGCCATGACAATCATCACAGACTCTGATGCAATCTCGTACTTTATACATGCAGGGTACTTCTAGTGTACAGGAATAATGTTCGTCCGCAGCACAGTGAAAGCAATAGTAGTACATGTTACGGTTAAGCCCGGCTTAACCAACAGTGCACTTGATAGGGTCGATCCCGTGTCCGCTTCATGGAGCACCAGGACGATGGAAGACTGAATGGAGGCTGTCCATCCAGAATGACTGACTAAAGGTTCAAAGAAGAAGCTAGAGTCGTATATCACAAGTGAAGATCAAGTTAGAGAAATACATGGTCTAACTACTGGGGTATATATAGGTATCGTCCTATGGGTTCAGGGTAGGCTTGGGTAGCCAGAAAGTATCCCAACTAGGGTAATCGGTCTATGTGAGTCATAAGGACTCAAAGATAAGAGTACCGGTTCAACGGTAAGGGTCCAGGTATGGTACCGGCACAGCGGTAGGTGTCCAAGTCAGATAACACTATCTGTCATGTAAGCGATAGGATAAACAATAGTCAGTACCATGGTATCAGTAGGGGCGATAAGGGAGAAGCGCGCGGCTTCTATTGATCCCGGTCTAGGTCGATTCCAGAGCTGTCCTGCTCCAACAGCTGTCATGCTGTGCTCTGCAGTTTAGTCACGTGCCGGTGATGTCATCTGTCACGTGTTGTAACGCGGTTGTGACAGCGATGTTTGGCGGAGACGATAGGGGCCTGAGGGTCCCTGTAACAGTACATTCATGGTGGACACCAGCAAACTTGAACCTAACCTTGACGAGACCATTGTTCGACAGCATCCTTCATCGCCGCGATCTTGCCATTCATGAACCCCATTTCTTTCAGCTCGGAGACCACAATGTACTTGATGGTATGTGTTCCTGTGTAGCTGTTATTGTGTAACTTGGTCAGGATTGCATTTGCAAGTGAAAACTTAGTGCAGAAATCAATAAGTGTGAGATCGAGACCAGGCTGCATTGTTGGAGGTAGGAGGGGCATCAACTCTGGTCTCTGTGTGGCAGTGCTACCATGTTGGCCGCATTCTCAGGTGCTGGGGGACGAAGGAACCCAAGGAGCTCAGGTGGTATGTTGAAGTTGATGGTTGGAGCACTGGATGTGTTCTTGTCACGATCGGATAAATGTTGCTGAAGGAGAGGTGATTTCACAGCCATTTGGTTGTCATGCAAACCATCAAAAGCACGATGGTTTGGAGGTTGTTTTACAGTCACAGGGGTGGATTCTTCACCTATAAAACCATGAGTGGCTAATTATAAGAGCGAGAAAAATCTTAGATGACCATTGCAGCAGCCCAAATCTGAAAGTGGTTGTGGCTAAGCAGAAAATGTTCTCTGTTGTCAGGAGGAATGTAGCATTGGCCACTTGATGGGCACCCTGCCTTGTTACAGACCCACCAGTTCTGCAGTGTCTTCATGTGTGCAGCAACCTTGATGTTCAATGGAAGTTCATCTGGGGTTTTCTAACATTCACGTCAGCATGCTTGTCTTGTTACCTATTCTTCATGCTCACCTTGCCTTTCTTTTCTTCTTTGGCCTGTTGGCACTGTCGTCGTCGGTCCCATCATCTTCATTGTCACTGCCAACATTGTTTTCTTTCCCCGTCCCTTTCTTGATCAAGGTATTGTCATCTAACACTGCATATATGCGCTCATCTGACGCCTTCTTGAGAATAGCCTCGATAATAACCTTCGCTTGAGGGTCCTTGCACTTGATGGCTACTTCACATAGGTTGTCGAAGTCATCTTCATTCACAAGTGGGATTGGAGATGTTTGATGCTGAGGTACCGAGAATGTGAGTTTGTAGTCTGAGAGATCAGGTTTCTTAAGCTTGAGACGTTCAGCGAGCTTCTCAGTAATCTTGACCTTCACTTCATCCCAATCCAGGCCTTGTGCAATTTTGAGGAGTGCTGCTACATCTTTTCGTCTTTTGTCAGGCTTCTTCATCTCATCCTGGGGATATATAGCTAATAAGGCTGATTGGTGCAGTGTTGGCTGAGTACTATGGTGTCACTATGAGCTGGCTCTGCTCTAAGTCATCCGAGAGTATGACGAACCTTTTTCTGGCTGTTCCTTGGGAGGACAGTCTCTCTTCTGTGTCTTTTCTGGTTCAGCCTGAGGTGATGGGCTCCGCGAAGGGGGACAGTGGATTCAACAGACACAGATTGTTCGCGCTGACTCAGAGGGGAGCTCATCAGAGAGCTATAGGAGAGCTCATAATTTTAATGATACTATCATCAGAGAATGTATTAAAGAATATACTGCTGTATGGTAGGGGCATAAGATACAAGATATTAACAGACGTGCCACAGATTTGCGATGCGCGTTGTTTGGTCTAATTTGAACACCGTCATTTTTATTTCTTTCTCTTTCTCTAAAAGTGTACAACTGTCATCATATTTGCAAAGCGCTGTAATACACAAACAATGTATAGAAATGTATGGTTACTTACTCTCCATTGTTGTGGTGGTGCCACAATTGGTGTGAGTACAACGTGTTTGTGTGGGCAGTTTGAAGGCAAGGAAATCAAGTACAGAGAGTTTTTCATGGGGTAGAAGGATGGTGAAAGCTTCCTTTGGAGGTTCTAGGAGTGGGTGAGGGTACCTCAGGTTTTTGGTGTTGTTCATGTTGACTTGATTCAAGTAGATTGTTGAGATCAAAAGGTATGTTTTAACTTTTGATATTGTTTGATGAATCATTGCCTTTTTTGGCAGATTTCTGGGAGTAGCATTTGAGTTTAAAGTTTGGCTGAGTTGTTCTGGGTTTTCCTGCAAGATACAACATTCTTTGTTTGTTTTCTCATTGTAACAGAGTTAATAGTTAAATTCTGATTGATATAAGTATGTTGTTGAAAATATGGGTCTGTCACATGTCACAAACCTAAGTGTTGAGATGTCAGATCAATGCAGTAATATGTCACGGTCACACTACACTGTCAAATTGATTGCATTAGTACAGTATGCTAGAGTGTTGTACATTCTAACCTTTGCTATATCTGTCCTAGCTCATTTTATATAAGTTCTTACAAATTTCCTTCACACTCATAGCAGAGCTTCCTCAGTGACTTCCATTAAGTCTACTGAGCTTGTGTACTTGCTGCAGGTTATGAGCCCTGCGCTTGTTAATTAAAACTAAACTACAGTACATGAAAGCAAGCCTGCCATGTCTAGCTCAAGCACTAAACTTGGAGAAGATTTTCTACATGTCCTAAAACTCACTGTGGACAGAGAAAATTGGATGACCTATAAGGATAGGTTGTCATGGTCTGTAGATGCTCGTGGGTTTCTTGGTCACCTTAAAGGGACCGAGAAGAAACCAGTTGATCCCTTGACGTTGTCAGGAAGAGGAGCATTGTGAGTACTGACCACATCAGATGAAATTAGAGAGCTCGCAGCCTATAAGGTCACATTGAAGGAATGGCACATGGGCAAAGCTATCATGAAGCAGCAAATCGATAGCATAATCCCTGATTCCCTGTTTATACAAGTTAAGAACTGGGTGACAGCAGGGGAAATCCACTTGGAGAAGCATTCTCGAGTTGTGTCTGTCAAGCTATTGTGGAAGCTGCAGGACCAGAAGTGTCCCAAAAAGGGTAACATCTGTGAGCACTTCGACAAGATGTGGGTGATTAAAAAACAACTATCCTCACTTGGTCCTACTCCAACAGACGATAGCTTCACAGCTATAATAATGAGCTTGCTCCCAGCATCCTACAACCCCCACTTGTCAGCATTAACAGCATCCACTAAAGTCTCAAGCATTTGGCAACTCACCGCAGACATACTAATGTCAACTGTTGTAGACAAATTTAACCATTGCACAGCAAAGACAAAGAAGAATGGCTTGTCAAATGATGATGCAGCCTATAATGCTAACCTAGGTAGATGGTTGAAATGGATCAAGGGCAACTGCCATAATTGTGGTAAATATGGCCACATGCAGTGAGACTGTTGAGGTGCAGGTGGAGGAGCAGCTGTGGACAAGGACAAGGCAAAGGACAAGTCCAACAGCAAAGGGAAGGACAAGAAGTCTGAGACTGCAGCCAGCACCAAGGACAAAGATAATGATGAGGAGCCTGTAGGTGTTTGGCTGATGGATGATGAGGAAGACAAGACAATTGAAGGAACATCATTCATGTACATGACACTAGCCAACTCAAACTCCCAATGTGAACCTCAAACAGAGTTGCTTGATTCTGGTGTGTCAAGACATATGTTGTCCTATCAAGACCTATTCTAAGACTTTGTCAATATTGTCCCAAAGCCCACCACAACAGCTGACAAACACACCTTTGAGGCAATTGGCAAAGGGAACATTTCATCACCCCACTGAATGGTGAGTCAAGCACTTGAGTTCTCCTCAAGGGATGAAAAGAACAGAGTCAGACTGAGGAGTATTCTATAGGCACATAGGTGCAGAAATGCTCATTCTCGCAGCTCATGTTGACGACTGCACTGTTACCAGCAGCAACAGCAAGTTTGTACCAAGTTTCAAGCTCGACATCACTGTGCGTGTGGGTGAGGAAAATAGACTCTGGGGTGATTCAGAAGTCTAACAAGGGTGCGAGACAAATACTTGTCCCAAGGGGATTGCTACTGGATAGCGAGTCCTCAAGTAAGTGCGAGGAAAGCAAAGACTAGACTCTGTCTAGTGACCTGAAGGGTTCCAGTTACTAAGACTGGGAACGCACTGATGCGGAAGGTACGCAACAAGTGGAACAAAGCGCGTGATGGACGGAACAAGCGCACAATGAGCAGAACTAATGTGCAACAAACAGAACAAGTGCGGAACAAGCGGAATGAACAGAACTAATGTGCGGAACAAGCAGAACTAATGGCGGAACAAGCAGAACTAATGGAGGGAAAAAGAAACTACGAGCCTATACAAGGAAGATTGGGCAAAGTTGGACCAGGCTTGTGTCTGGTACTTGCTCCAAGTCGTCGGATCCGATGTCGGGCGTTTCGAGTGGAACTCACGGATGCAGGAGCATTGCAATGAGACCAGGAATAGATTCAGGAAGATATTTTAAACAGTGAGTGGAGTACTGGGAAGTACTCTGTAAGTGGAAGTGGAGTCGAGTCTATCAAAAAGGTAAAAAAACTAAGATCCCATCTATTGCTATCTATATAGGAAGGGGTTCTGAAAAGCGCTATGCTACAACCAGGTGAGGCTGTGAGATAAGGAACTGGTTCCGAGTAGCGGAAAGATCCGTATAAGTATCGTAACACATGTGAAATGAGATAGCAACATGTAGTAACATGAGGAACATAGCAAGGACTCACCAGTGAGGATGGAAGGACGGGGACAGGACAGAGGAGGATGTTCTGAAGGCTAAAGGGATATGATGTGCGTGGTGTGCGGTTGTTTTGCTTGGTTCCACTGTGTTCTGCTTAGTTCTGTGTAGCGGACGGGTTGGATAAGATGTGGATGGGTAGTGGAATGTAGCGGAACACATGGAAAGATGCTGGTAAGGCTGGGAATTATACAGGATACAGGCTTACAGTGGGGACATT